AGACAAACATGTAAGCAAAACACCCATACACATAAAAAATAAATTAAAAAAAATTTCGCCCCCTTCTCTTTCCGCTTTCTCCTTCTGTCTGTCCTCTCTCTCCCTCTTTCTCCCCCCCCCCCCCCCATAAAGCTCTTTCTTTGTGTAGCTCTTTGTAGACCAGGCTGACCTGGAACTCACAGAGATCCTCCTGCCTGTGCCTCCTGAGTGTTGGGATTAAAGGCCTCCACCATCAGCCACCACCACCAGGCAAGCACTCTTCCTGCAGAGGACTCAGGTACAGTTCCCAGTGACCACATGGTGGTACTGTCTTTAAGTACAGTTTCATCGGGTCCGATGCCCTCTTTGGCCTTCACCAGCACTGCATGCACGTGGCACACAAACATATATGCAGACAAAACACTAAAAAAAGATTTGATTTTTTTTTGAGATGGGATTTCTCTGTGTAGCCTTAGCTGTACTAGAAATTTCTCTGTAGACCAGGCTAGTCTCAAACTCACAGAGAGCTGCCTGCCTCTGCCTCCTGAGTGCTGGGATTAAAGGCATGTGCCCAGCTGAATTTGCCTATTTTTAAATTACTTAAAAAGATTTGTTTAGCGGGTGGTGGCACACACCTTTAATCCCAGCACCCAGAAGGCAGAGGCAGGTGGATCTCTGTGAGTTCGAGGCCAGCCTGGTCTACAAAGTGAGTTACACAGAGAAACCTTGTCTCAAAAAAACAAACAATAGTAATAATAGTAATAATAATAATGGACAAATTCATAAGATAGAAAAGAGTTTATTGTTTCTTAGGGGCAAGGAAGTAATGGGTTTTTATGGAGATGATGAAAAAGCTCTGAAGTTACATGGTAGTAATGTTTCCCAACTCGAGTGAGTATTCTCAAACCACTGAACTGTGTACTGAAGGTTTCATGTAGGATAAAGCAGAGTGCTTCCTAGTGGCAACTAGTCATTTCCTCTTAGTGTGAGAGCAGAAAGCAAGTGAGACCCTGTTTGGAACAAGTTCAAGTTGGGGCATATTCTGGGCAGAGCAGAAGCTAGTATTAGGTTTTCTAGAGTGCAGCTGAGTTGGGAGCGGGGAGGTTGAGACCTCAAGTGGGCATGCTCACCCCTCTGCCTGCCGCATCTTGACCTTGTGGGGCAGGAGTCTTTGTGTGGTGTGCGACCACTGGTTTCCTCAAGAATATTCGAAGTGATGATTATATATCCTGAGGAGACCCCTACCTGTTCTCAGACCCTCTTCTCTGGGGATTACTTCACATGTCACCCAGGCTATTCTAGGGACAGACTGTTTAAGGGCTGAAAAGGGTAGATGATTGAAGCTTAGACCTTTTGGGCAAGAGAGAGATAGGATGAGGAGTTAGGAGTATGGCCTTAGTCTGTGGTTCTACCTGGGAGGGTGGGGTTCATCCTTGGAGGGTGGGGTTCATCCTTGGAGGGTGGGGTTCATCCTTGGAGGAGTGAGAAAGGTCTCCTCAAGTAGGATGATAGGAACCTCCCCCGCCCAGCCCAGCACTGATCCACTGCTGTCTTTGGTGGTATGATCCTACTCATGTCCCTTTCTGATCTTGCTCTGGGGTATTTTTCTGCCCTTTGGAACTTGTAAATTTGAACTTGCTCCAAACTGGACCCTTACTAGCCTTCTTCCCGACAGATGGAAAAAGGGTGTTTAGGGAACATCCTGCTCTATCTTCTCTCTGTAGAGACAGTGGGACCACACCAGCACCCTTTGGACCTCCACCCTACTAACCAAGGGAAGAGGGTCCTCTGCAGGAATAAAAATATAGAGCCTAGAACTAGGGAAGTGCCCTGGACCTAGGAATGTTGCTTTGGTCTGCCTGCTGTCTGTCCTGTACTTCTTGGTATGTCCATAGGTTGATGGGAAAATGCCCCATTCCAAGTAGATAAACGCTTGGGGACTGCTCCCATGGATTCAGGCAGCAGGACTGCTCAGGCCTATCTCTTCTATCTCTGCTTGGAGCTTGTCTGACTTTGTCCCTTTTATGTATCTCTGTCCTCTGTCACTGTATGCTAATTATAGAGGATAAGACCCCAAGTGCAGCTCCCCTTACACCATTATTTGAGGTAATGTAATTCATACTGGTCAATGTAGAGATGATACCATCTTGCTTCAGATGCAAAATACTCCTAAGAAATCCTCACATCTTGTGTACTCCTTCCCAAACATTCTGGGAAGCTGGGACCTGTGCATGAACCCACATGAACATCTAGCCCCAGGCTTGTTGCTGGTAAGTCACAAATGGCCACCCTCATTGAAAGCCGTATGGTTACAGCTTCATAGTCATGCTAGGCATTTCACACTCCATGTGGGTGAATCTTGGAATCAGCCGATATTGCAGGATATATGGGAATGCAGGGTAGGGCAGGCCTCTCCTCCAAGAGTGGGAGCGTCTGACTAAGAAGACTTACTAGATTTGAAGTATTTATGTACGTGTGCAGGGACCACCTCCAGGGTGATTGTTCCATTCCTCTCTGGACGAATGTGTTTGTCCAGTAAGGGACTTTGAAAAGGAGATGGTCTGAAAAGAGGCCCCTAGTCCTCCTGAAAGAAGCCCAAGCATGGCTAGTGAGCTGGGAGGCTTAAGGTACACGGTTTGAGCACTGCCTTGGTCACTAAACTTATGTCTGAGCCAGGCCCCCTGGGGGAGCAGAGCAAGTATAGCATGGTGCTGCCCCTCTTAGGAAATATTTTTGAGATCTAGTAATGTATCTGCACAAACCTGCAATTCTGCCCAAGTGAAGAATGCTATCCTTGGCAGTGCTTAGGCTTGTAGAAGGAAAATGCAATCCAGGCTAGGAGCTGATGATATCTGAGAGCCCAACTGGAAGGATAGAGGGCAGCTGTGTGGCTAATCGGAAAAGTCAAGTAATCTCTGTGGTCAATGTTTATGGGAAACACTGTTGTTCCTTATGCATGGATGCTAGTGCTCACTGAAACCCTTTGAAAGAAAAAAGTTTAATTAAAAATTAAATATAGTGTGTTATATATATATATATATAAAAGCAAAGTAAAAAATACAGTCTCATTCTAGAAAATACATAGCAGAAAAGAATTAGATGGTTCAAAAACTTAACCCTGACAGAGGCAGCTAGCACATCCAGGCCTGGGCTCCCTAGGGAAGGCCAGCACACAGGAGCCCCCAAAAGGAGGTATGTGAATGACAGAGGTGGCACCCTTAGGCCACCAGCTCTAAAGGCTGCTGCATAGTCTAACATACATCTGCGAAAGGAAGGGAGCGACAGGGTCCTGACACTTGGCCACATGCTGAAGCGCTGAAGGGCAGGGAGAGTGCCTAGCCTGAGATACAGGCGCTGTAATAGACTGCGCTGCTGGCGTCAGACAGCGCAGAAATGAGGCTACTCTCCTCTGGACAGGACATGGCACGCGGACCCAGTTTGGCCAGCGCCACGTGGTAGGGAAGTGTAGTGGCATCCGGTCGAGTCCGGCCGCAGTTGAGATACTGGTCGAATTCGGTGAGGTCCACATCAGCCCAAAGGTCGGCGGTAGGCTCCAGTTGCTCTGTTCCCTCAAGAGGCGCGGCCTCAGGTGGTGGTGACAGAGGACTGGGGTATGGGCCTGGCGTGCCGTAGTAGAGGCCCGCGAGCGGCGCGGCAGGCGGCGCGGTCCTGAGCGCCTCAGCCAGGGGCGCCCCGTAGCAGAAGCTCGGGTCCCGTGCCAGCTCGGGGGCATAGGGCGCCCGGAAAGCCCGCACAGCGCAGTCCTCGGGCGCCAAAGGCGGTGGGAAAAAGGAGGCCTCGCCAGGCTCCAGGCCGTCCAGAGGCGAGCGCTCGGGCGTGGGTAGCCCCAAGCCATCGAACTCGGCGCCCAGCGTGGGCAGCTCCCGGAAGGTGCGGGCCGCGCCTGAAGCTGCAGGGAAGGGCTCGGGCGGCGCAGACGGCTGCACGAGGCCCGGGAGCAAGAGGCCGGGCTCCAGCCTCCGGGCCTTGCGCGCCTGTTTTTTGCGGCGAGGACGGTACTTGTAGTTGGGATGGTCGCGCAAGTGCTGTACACGCAGCCGTTCGGCCTCTTCCACGAAGGGCCGCTTCTCCGCTGTGTTCAGCTCTTTCCATGCTTTGCCTGTGGACAGCGGGAGCCTGTTAGTGGACCGCCGTCGGGCGCACGACCTGCCAACCCTGCATGCGCCCTGGGCGCTCGGCGCGAATATGGAATAGAATCCTGAGCCCGACCCTGGAGCCCCAGATCCCGACACCCCCTCCCGCCAAGTTCCCTCCCTCACCGCCCTTCTCTGTGCCCTCGACTCTCACCTAGCATCTTGCTCAGTACTGCGTTGTGCAGATCCGGGTTTTGCTGCGCCAGTCGCTTACGCTCGTCCTTCGCCCACACCATGAAAGCGTTCATGGGCCGCCGGATGCGCAACTCGTCGGCGGTTTGGCGCTCTCCGCGGCCGAAGCCATAGCGCCCTGACTCGGGGCTGCGCGGTGGGCTCCGCGGAAGGCTGGACGGCGAGGTGGGCTCGGCGGGCGAGACGTTGGTGACAGGGAGGCCGCGCGGCTCAGCAGCGGCCCCGAGTCCCGGGGCCCATGCACAGTCGCGGCGGGAGGGCGGGTCGTCCTGTGCGCCGTAGCCGGGCGGCGATCTCTGCATTCCAGCTGGGCAAGGCCTGGGCGGAACGCAGCGCGGGAGCGCAGAAGACAGTGGCGGGCACTGCGAAGCCAAGTTCGGAGGGCTGACGGACGTCGGGTGGAGACAGTGGGGATGTGGTAGCTTGGTGCCAGGAAGGCATCCCAGATATAGAGACACCGGGCCAATCCGCAGCGGAGCGGGCGGGCCGGGGCGGGGCTGCCCCCTCTGCGGTGGCTCCCTTTTTTCTTCCTGGCAGGATCCAGCCGAGGCCCCCCCAGCGCAAAGCACCGCTCCCCCTCCCCCCCCGCGCGCACTGTCTCTGAAGAAGAGACCCCCGAGTAGCAGAGGCTGCTGGTGTGGGCTGAGGCTCAAAAGGAGGGGTTCCCCAGAGTTGTCAGTTTTCAGAGTGGAGCTGTCACCCCACCCACAGAGACAGACCCCCGGGCAGTATTGAGGGGAGAGGGCAGCGGCATTAGATTGGATGAAGGAAGATTTATTTTAGAACCAAGTTCTTGGGAGGTCATTTTCATCGTGCACCTCGGGAAAGGGGATGGGATTTTGGAGGTGTTCTTGCCTCTTCCTGTCGGTTGACCCTCCCAGATGCTGAGCTCAGTTGGGTAGTTTGAATGCCTCTCCCAAGTTCTGCCCCTGAGGCTGGGGAAAAGTGGACCTTTTTATCCCTCTCTCATACCCAAATTCTGGGACAAGGCAAAACATGGACCTGGTCCACAAGGAAAAGGTAGACTGGTAGGCACAGGACACAGCCAGTCCCTGCTTCTGTGTGTGGGCTACTGTAAGCTGGTTTCCTTACCCAGGCCAAACAGCTGTCTCAGGAAGAGACAGGGGCCTGGGCAGGTGAGACAGGAAAACTGGGTGTTTTCCAAAAGAGCCCTCACTCATTTTCTTTTTCTATCTTTCCGAACACTCCACCAGGAAGAGATCTGGCCTCTAGAAACGGCTTTCTTCTGAGAGTTGCCCCTTGTCCATTGCCATGTATAACTTCATAGAGGAAAAGCCAACGTTCTTGACAGCTGTCTGTGACAGGTGACTAACTCCACTTACATGTACCCTGGACACTCGGCAGCCTTCTCTATCATGTCAGGATATCCCACCTTGAGCATTGAGAGAGAGTCTGTGTGGCTTCTGGGGCTGTTCTTATGAGTCCTACAGCACCCTGTGCTGTTCCTGAGTAGTCCCTTTCTTTCTGAGCACTCTCGCCGTGGGGAGATGCCAGAGTTCCCTATAATCCCTCAGACTAATGATGATGAATATTATGACCTGATATTTTGTCATGTAGATATGGTAATAAAGGGTCCATTATAGGTCCGGCACCTGCTGCAGGGGCATGAACTTTGAGTAGGGTGGGACTACTGGGGCAACTCAGTACTTTCTCAGAAGGCAGGCAGTGGTGTGGACACCAAGGTGAAAATGTTTACAGGACCTTGCCAATGATCAGCTCCCTTTTGGCAGGTCTAGGTGGGTGGGTAGACTGAACAGGTGGTACAGGAGGATGGTGAGTGAGGACATGAAGAGCTGTGTGAAGATTTTCGTTTTGAGAATGGGCACAAAGAACTAGAGGGGGAGGGGGAGCATGGGTCAGTGGTAGAGTGCTTGCCCAGCATGCAAAAGGTCCTAGTTCCATCTCCAGTACCACAAACAAACAAAGCAAAGGACAAGAGCTACCCTAATATTCCCTCACTTCCATCAGTTTTTGTCAGAAATTACCCTTACTCCATAGCTGTGGATACAGGTTAGAGTCCCCAGAGCCTGACTCAGCCAGGACAACAGCTATTTTGAGATGATGTTCACTAGGGCTCTGGGAAAGGATCCCCGGATTCTTTTGCTGCAGCCTCATATGTTGAGGAGGACTTGGAGTTCTGTGATAACTCAGAATCAGCCTCATGTTGAACAGGGTACCCAGCATAACCTCATTGTTCCCTAGCCCTCTAGCACCCACCTCTCCTGGCACCAGCCAATGACCCTCCTCATAGGCAAGTTGTGGCTCAAATGTCAGCCTGTCATATCCTGTGAGCTGGGCTGGGCAGGAGCCTGTGGGGTGCCTCTTTTCTCTGTAGGGTCAGGCTACCCTCCCTGCCCACTCTTGGCAGTGGTGGTGCTGGCAGCTCCCACCCTCCCTCCAGATGGGGCAATGGGGGAGGTAGCTTCAGTCTGCCAGCAGGGTGGCCCTGACCCTGGAGCCCCAGGGCTGGAGGGACTCCCCAAGGCTGTACAGGGCTGCTGTGGGTGTGGCCAGCTATGCTAGGAGAGGGACATTCCATGTGAATGTCTGTGTGTCTGTGTGTGGTCTACATGTGTGCCTCTGTCAAGTTCCCAGGGTATGGGGAGAGGTAGACCCTAGTGCTAGAGACTGCCCAAGTCCTTGGGAGTCAGACATGATGGACTCTCTTATAAGGGAATAGGAACTCAGATGTTGAGGACTGGAAGTTCTACTCAGGAAAACATGTACTCAGCACCCTAAGAAGGGACCCCCCAAGGCTTCTTTGTTAGATGAAGATCTGGCAGAAGAGAGAAGGGAAAATCTGCATTGGAACTCCACTTCAGTCTAGCTTGGCTTAGATGGGCACTTACCTATGGCAAGGCCATTGTCTATAGCCCCAGCCCCTAGAAAGTTGGAATGGTAGGGCAAATCTTTTCTGCCAGTATGGGGCTGGCCTGGGTGTCAAGTGGACCCTATTCCCCTTTCCTTCTTGCTTACACCTACTCTCCTTCCTCAGCTTCTCTGGACCCCAGGCTTCCGTGAGGCCTGAAAAGGATGCTGGGTAGTTCCCCTTGGTGCCTATAGTGGGGGATTGGCTTGGCTCTGCTCTGCCTGGGGGTGGTGAGACCTCCCAAGCACTGCCTGGGCACAGACCTCCCAGGCTCCCACCAGACAGCTCTGGCTGCTGTACAGCAGTGAGGCTGGGACCAATTACATAGTCCTTTAGGGCTTGGGCCCTCCCACTCCCAAAGGGTGAGGTGGGGTCCCTGTCTGAGGGCAACAGAGCTCCAGGTGGATGAGTCTTTTTTGCAGCTAGCCTTCCAGTTCAGACCTTTCTTCTGACATACCACTCTTGGCTCCAAACCTTGCTGGCATCCCAGTCTCTGGTGGCTGGAGCTGGGGGAATATGAAGCTAGGACCAACCTTTACTTCTCTCCTGGAGTCAGAGCCTTTGGCAGTCTGATGCCTTAGAACAGAGAGGGATAGTTCTGGTTTAGATGAGCTAGGCCCTAGCCTAAAAATCCTTCAGCTTATGTGTATGAGTGGGTAGAAGTACTTTCAAATGTTGGATTCTTGGTAAAGTTCACAGGTTCAGTTCCCAATCATAGCATGGTGGGAGTGGGAGTGTTGGAATGAGTGGGTGTTGGGCTAGTGGAGGGGCACCAGTGTTAGCTGTTTTAGGTAAAGAATGATGCTCAACAGGTGGTGTTGGCACACGCCTTTAACTCTAGCACTCGGGAGGCAGAGGCAGGCAGATCTCTGTTTGTTTGAGGACAGTCTGGTCCACAGAGTGTTCCAGGACAGCCAAGGCTACATAGAGAAACCTTGTCTCAAAAAACAAGCAAGCAAGCCAACAAGTAAACAAACAAACAAACAAAAAGAATGATGGTCAGGGTGTTGTGTAGAGATGGCTTGGCTCTCATCCACTCTGTGCCCTCTGGCCAGCAGGACTGGGTGGGAACAGTAGGGATGGGAGAAGCAAATGCAACTTATTACTGCAAGGTCACCATGGATAATGGCAGACCAGAGTGCTATGGACATATGAGAGTAAGCCACATGCAACAGAGTGGGTTCTGTGGGTGGGCCAGGGATCAGACATCCTTTGAAGGATGTTCCAGAGTTTTCAGTTACTATACTGTGGTGGGCATGTGGGTGCTCAGGGTGTTATCACAGGCATTGTCCACTTTTTAGGGTCACTAGATGAGAGCTAGGTGGGCTGTCAGGTGAGTTGTATGAGAGAAGGCTGGGGCTGCTGTGCAACATTTTGGAGTGTTCTGGTTCAGGGGGGCTGCATGGCCAACTTGGGTCCTCCAATGCAGCCGCCTACTATGTATGAGCCTCTGAGCAGCACTGCTGCTCCTGCTCTGCAGGGGCTCCATGGGAACCTGGCTGGGGAGCCCGGCTACTCATGGGTTTCCGTGGCGACAACAGGGCGGAGCCAGGAAACAGCCGCTCAGGAAGGAAGGCTGGCCTTCAGGCCAGAAAGAACCCACTGGGCTGAGGAGGCGCCAGACATTCTGTCCAGTTTCCCCAACCCCTGCTGGCCGGTGCTCTCGCCCATTCCGTTGGCCTCACCCTCGCCCCGCCCCCACACCTCAGAACTGCGGGTCTTTACATAAATAGTTGCTTTTATTCTCAGCTCGGTGCATGACCTGGGTCTGTGGATGTTGCTGCCTCTGTTTTCATGAGTGGGCCTTTGCCTTTAAGGTGGGCTAATTGCAGGCATACTCGAGTCTCTTAGGCTTCTGGGAGGTAGTACCCATTCTGAATGCCCTGCCATGTTGGGCTGGAGATAAAGGGAGACTAGGGCAGAGAAAGAATACATCCATCTCCTCTTCCTCTTCCTCCCTCCCCATTCTTCTCTCTCTCTTCTAGTAATTTTTCTTCTATTTTAAAATGTTGCTAACTGGGCCAGGCACGGTGGCGCACACCTTAAATCCCAGCACTTGAGAGGCAGAGGCAGGTGGATCTCTGTGAGTTTAAGGCCTGCAATGAGTTCCAGGACAGCCAGGACTGTGTAGAGAGACCCTGTTTGAAAAACAAACAGACAAACAAAGAAAAATGTTGCTAACTAAGGTGTCCCTGGAACTCTATGTAGTTCAGGCTGGCTTCTGTTTTCTGAGTTTTGAAATTGTACGTGTAGTCATCACACCCAGCTTTGCATGCTTTCTCCCTTCCTTCCTTCCTTCCTTCCTTCCTTCCTTCCTTCCTTCCTTCCTTCCTTCCTTCTTCTCTTCTCTCTTCTCTCTTCTCTCTCTCTCTCTCTCTCTCTCTCTCTCTCTCTCTCTCTCTCTTCCTTCTTTTCCTGGCTGGTGACAAATGTCTTTGGTGGAGAACCAGCTGGCTGTTTAGGGACTTCCACTCTCATTTGCTCAGAGACAGAATTCATTTTTTTTTAAATTTACTGAAGCCCCTGCTGGCACTAGACTGTCTTCTGAGGTGGGAAACTGGAAAAGAACAAACAGCCCCAATCCTTGCTGTGAGATGTTTCCATTCTGGTGTGGAAAGGCTAAAAATCAATAAATCCACAAATAAGCCCATATTGGAAGTACTAGGTATGAGAAGGGGCTATGTCAGTATCTACATCCTGTTTTTTCATGAGTGGGTTTTGAGCCCACACTGAAAGAAACATGTGAAGAAACCATACAAAAAGCATGCTCCACAGATGGGGAGCTGTTTTAAAGTCACTGGGGCGGGGGGCGGGGGGGGGGGGGGAAGAGCAGGTGTATGGAAGGGCCGGGATGAAGCATAAGGACTGAAGATCAAGAGGCCCAGTGGAGCCTGGAAGGATCTTGCTTTTTCCTCTGAATGAGACTGGAGAAGAGTTTTCAGTGACTTGGCATCCCACAGGCTCAGCACAGCTTTGTTCCTGCAGGGGCTTAGCTATGGCTGACTTTGTTCAGGCTGATCTCTGCAGGATGGCAGGCAAGCAGGCAGGCTGCCTTAGAATTCCACAGGTTTGCTGCCTCTGAGTCAGACCTCCATGCTTCATCCATTGCCTCTGACCCTGTGGCTGCCTGGGGTTCCTTAGAGTAGGAGGGCGGAGTGGCCGCCAGGCTGGCGGGCTGGCAGGGCAGGGGGGCGGCATTTCTGGGAATTGTGTGGGGGAAGCACATTCACATTGTTAGAGCAAGCCTGCAGCTAGGGCCTCACTGGCCTCTGGGGGATGCCTCCTGCCTCCCTAGCCCTGCCTCTGGTGGTGGTGGTGGGGGGGGCAAAGCTGGACCCTGGCCAGGCTGTGGGCTGTCGGGGGACTTTCCAAACAGACATTTCCATGAGCCCATGGCTCTTCCCATTCTGTAGACTAGGATACTGAGGCTCAGAGAGCTGGCATCTACACAAAGCCAATATCCCTATGTCCAGGCTCCACTTTCTACCCCCAAATGACCAGAGACTCTTATCTGTCACTGGTCACTGCCCTGTCTGATCACAGAAGCCAGTGTCCATGGAAGGCCTGAGGTGGGACTGGCTATGGATACAGAGCCACGGAACCCTATGGTGGAGACCTGCAAGCCCAAAATGGGCTGGAGGAACTGAGAACTTGGTGCAGAGGAGGGACGACCATATGGAGGCCGGAGCAGGACCTCCTGGGGCTTAGGATGCCTCCTGGTCTGTGAGGATGGGAAAAGAAGGGGCTCCGTGTGAGCTTGGCCGTGTGAGTCTTCCCACCCACCACCGCCCTGCCTTGGCCAGAGGGGAAGCATTCAGGCCACCACTGGGGTCAGGGCCAGCTCTGGGCAGACTGGGATGTGGGGTAGGGATCACAAATAGAAAAATAAATGGCTTGAGTTTCCGCTGTTTCCTGAACTGAGGAAGGGGGAAGGGCAGGCTTTGGGCCAAAGGTGCAGTTGGCCCGGTGGGGCAGACCCTGGGGATGTCCCATGATCCCACCTCATTAGGGTATTGTCTGCCCTTTTCAGACCTTCAGGCTGGGATATCTCCATCCCAGGGGCCCTAAGATAGGGCTGTGTTGCTCATTGAGAGCTCCTGAGGTTGGAGATCCACTAAGGAAGGGACAGGCTATTAAGGAAAATTGGGTGTACCCCAGGAAGGCTGGGTGCAAAAGCCAAACGGTGACCTGTGAAGGAGCCTCATCTGGGTGTTCTGGGGGCGTGGGAAAGACCCCAGTGATAGATAGGATGGAAAGGTAGGCAAGGCTATCTCCTAGAAGTAGGCAAGTGTGTCCCTCTCCATCACCTTCAGAGGGCTAGAGTAGAGGACAACACCATGTTGGAATGAACACCTGGTGATGTCCAGATAGTGTTTGGTGGAGAGGTTCACTGAAGAGAAAACTCCCAAAGTCAGCAAGGTGTGTGGCTGGGGGTGGGGGTGGGGGTGGGGGTGAAGGTTCTGATGTGGGAGTGACTTCTCTGAGCAAGGGCCAGAGGTTGGATTTGGAGCTCCTGCAGGGTCTGGGATTAGGGCTTTGGTTTGTTTGTTTTAGTCATGTAGCCCAGGCTGCCCTCAAACTGGAGATGTATCTGAAGATGACTTTGAATTTCTGATCTTCCTGCCTCTGCCTCCCAGGCTGGTACCTGTGATGCCTGGTTTTATGTAGTACTTCTGATTGAACCCAGGGCTGCTTCTATGCTAAGCAAACACTACCAACTGAGCTAAGCCCCAGCTCAGTGAATGAAGTTTTCTAAGGCTGGGATGTGGAAATATCTGGCTGGTCAGTGCCAACCCCACAAGTGAGGACCCCTCAGGAATGAACACATCTTTTATCTGGCTTTTTTTGTTATCATAGCTCCCCTGATGGTGATCTACTGGACTTTCCTCTGGAAGGAGCATTGCCTGAGCAGGTTTGTGGGTTGCTCCTGCCACCTACAGGCTGCTGTTGCTCATCACTGGGACCACGACTCCACCGTGGACAGCCCCTTCAACCAAACACAACATGGTTGAAGGTCAGGTGGCTCCTTTACTGCAAGCTCTGTACCAATTCAATGCTCAAACACAGGGTTCCCTCTCCCAGAACTTGTTTGGTTGGGTTTGGCTTAGAGCAAGGGCCCAGACGCCAGTAAAAGGCAGAATCAGAGTTGGTGTGGAAGCTGGAGAGCTGTGTTCATCCATCACTGCACCCCTGGAAAAGCTTTGTTACCTACAAGAAATTCCGTACTTTTTTCTTATGGTGAAGATGTCATAAATGATTAAATGGGCAGCCCAGGCCATGTGTAAATTCCATTTGCACCCTGGCCTCGTGGTGCAAACTGTGGGTACAACAATTCAGATAACTGTCTTCTGGCACCAGCACACCTGCTACCATCTGCTGCACAGAAGAGGAGCCAAGTACCTCTTTTCCTTCCCTGGGCATGGCTATGATGTTTCTGAGGCACTGCCGCGGTACCTGATTGCCTTGCCTTGTTTTCAGTGTTTAATGTGAATCGGATGATCCTGATCACTCTGTCATCCTCACTTCACAGGCTGGGAGACTGAGACGTAGAGCAACGAGCAGAACCTGGGATTTTCACCTTGTTAGGTTGACTTCAGAGCCTGATTTCTTGCCCAAGAGGCCTTTTCAGAGTCCAGGGGCTATACCTCCCAGTGTGCGCCGCATCTGCGCAGAGGCAAGAACGACCCAAACCTGGCTTGGTAACGATGCAAGGGTGTCAAGTCCAGCAGGGTGTAGGGCTGAGCTGAGAGGTCCCGACGCCTCGCCCCTTCTAGGAAGTGGAGGCGACCGGACTCGACCAGCGAAGGAGAAATGCACCGCCAGGACAAGCGGCTCAGATGGTACTCCTCCCGTCAAGTTCCACCCTCTCCCTGCCATTCGGGGGTGGGGGTGGGTAGGGTGCGTGTGAGGCGGTCGTTCCGCGGGCGTACGGAGGAACTACCTTTTCCAGCGGGCCGCGCGCCACATGCCGCGCAGTCGTCTGGGAGTTGTGGTCCCGGGGGCGGAGACTTTTTTTTTTTTTTTTTTTTTTTTTTTAATTGTGTTGCACGCGGCGGCCAGGCGGAGGTTTGTTCCGCGCATCTAGGCGGCGGCAGCCGAGGTCGGGCCGGGCGGCGCAACCGGCGCAACCCGCTGCCACCGAGGTGGTGATGGGCAAGGAGGAGGAGATTGCGCGGATCGCCCGGAGGCTGGACAAGATGGTGACCAGGAAGAGCGCGGTGAGGGGCGCGGGCCGCCAGGATCCTGGGGCCCCCGCTCCGCGTAGACCCGCTGAACCCACCCGCGGGGAGAATGACACTCAGACCAGTCGAGACCCCTGCCCCAGGCCCGCCCTCTACCTTGTCCTGAGACTGCCGCTTCGCACTGGACGCCAAGCTGACTTGAGATCTGCCCACTGCCCCATCGCCCAGCGGTGGTCGCGGGCGTTCTTAGCCCAGCCGTTGTCTCCCATGTCTACCCCCACCCTCCAGAACCAGGTTTCTCTAATAACCCCCCCACCCCCGCTTAGGCCTCAGGCCTCAGGCAGCAGCAAGTCGGTGTAGGTAGACAGTAGAGATTCCGAAATGAACCTGTGTCCTTGAGACCCTAGTAGACTGACTCTGTCCCTAGCCTTGCCCCGAGGCACTGTGGGCTTGGCAGTCTAGCCTGCCTTCCGACCCTGGTCACTCGGGAGCATCCTTAGGGGATGATGGCACCTGCATCTTGTCTTCCGTGGGTGGGAAGGGACCAGGAGGTGGCCTTAAGGCTAAGTATGACCCGCCCATCCGCGGCACCAATCCCAGGGCAGCCCAGATGGTGGCTGAGTTATGAGTCTGTACAGCCTCCCCAGGACTGTGCTTGAAGTGGAGGGCTGCAGGACAGCTTTTGGAGATAAGCAGGATTGCCCTGGGTTCCTGTTGGTCAGGGGTAGAGGGATGGGATCTAAGCCAGGAAGAGGGTTAGGTTCCCCTTTTCACCTGAAACAGCCCCACTGCGCAATCACCTAGGCTGCAGAGGCCTGCTGGTGCTTTTTTCCTCTAAGGGTATTAAATCCAAATGACAAACTTGGAACTTGGAGATGGGGTGGGACTCTATAGGGACTTGGGAACTGGTAGAGACACAGACAGGACTGTACAGTAGGAGAAGGGAAACGGCAGAGGTTCCAGGATGTTGCAGCAACCTGAGAGGCTCCTTGGAGCAGCTGGTGGTTTGTTTGGACCTTCAGGGTGGGAGTACAGAGCTGTTGGGAATGAGTGCCTCCGGCTCTAAGGATCAGGTCTTCTCAGGAAGTCACCTCAGGGCTGATTGGTGTACAGTCCCAAGAGCAGGATCTGCTTTAGGGCCATGAAACAGGGCTGCAGTCTGAGCAGATAAGTAACCCAGAATGGAGGTCAGCCCCAGACCCTCCCACTGCCTCTAGTATGGAAGGTTTGAATGGTTGGGTGGGTTCTCTCTGCCTCTTTGTGGCATGCAAAAACACACGAGCTAATAGTAGCAACGTGGAGGACGGCAAGCACAACAGTGTTGGGTGTTGTAAGAATCTGTCTCACTGTAGGAAGAGGTGCTTGAATAAAGCTTTGAATTGCTAGGGAGAAGAGCGGTCTTAAGCAGAGTGCGGTTTTTAAGATAGGAAGAGGAGGAACCTGCCTTCAAGGTGCAGCCTTTCTGTAGATACCGAAGAATAGAGCTTGGGCAGAGGAAGAAAATCAGGATTGTGTGTTAAAAAAATCCAGAAGTGCTACACTGATGGATGGGCACTTTGAGGAGAGGCTGCTCTACCATCACGGCATAGATGGACTAAGACTAAGGAACTTGAGTTATATCTCTGAGTGTTCTTCCATGTTGAGCAGGAACTGGGGCATTTTTTTCTCTAGTAGTTTGCTCAGTGACCTGGTGTGGTTACCATGAGGTCTGGAGGTCACCACAGATACAGGGTGAAAAACCACCTGATCTTTGAGGAGAGCACTGTTAAGCTGTTTGCTTCTATTCCTGCCCTAGTGCAGGGGCAGTAAAAAGCCCCTGTTGTGATGTAGGACCATGTGTGCAGTGCTCTGGTCTTCTCAAGGTAGAGGAGTGGCTTCCTTTCTGACATGTAAATTGTCCCCTAAATGATCAGGAAGATGTGTGTTTGTCCATTAAGGTCCTTTATGAAAGTACTTTTTCCTTCCAGGAGGGAGCCATGGATTTGCTGCGGGAGCTGAAGGCCATGCCTGTTACATTACACCTGCTCCAGGTAAGCTCTTCTGGTCCTGGTCTAAAATGGTTCCAGAGACAGCAATCTAGCAGGGCTCCTTATATATTCCCACAAGGTTTAGCTGGCATAAACAACTGCTCTAAGGAGAGGGTTTCTGATTCTCTCTGGTGATCAGTGAGGTGGGAGGGGGGTGCTCTGGGTTCCAAATGAGATCATAGCCATTGGGAGAGGTGTCTTTCTGTCCCTGCCCATTTCCCAACCCTTTTCTTTGGGAGCCAAGAGTCCTTAGTGAGGATCTGCCTCTGGAGCAGGCCCCTACCACCTCTGACCCAGGACACTTGCCTTGCAGTCCACCCGTGTTGGAATGTCTGTCAATGCCCTACGGAAGCAGAGCTCGGACGAGGAGCTCATTGCGCTGGCCAAGTCCCTCATCAAATCCTGGAAGAAGCTCTTGGGTGCGATCAGAATGTAAAGGGTGACTCTTGTTGCTCAGCACAGCATAGAGTGCTGGCTCTGATGCTCTTACTCAGGCTATCTGGTTATGGGATACAAAAAACAGGCCAGAGAGTACCCATCCCTGGGCTGGAAGTGGATGAGGATAATTGAAGATGGATGTCATCTGTTGTGGTAGGGAGGGGGATAGCCTGGGAGGCATGACTATTGATACAAGGGTTATGTTGGGAAGGAGGTTTTCAAGCTTTGAGAGGTCAACAGAAAAGGAGGTCCAGGTCAGGATGCTCCAGCTGAAGAAGGAGGAGGTGGGGTCGCTACCTATGCAAAAGGTGAGCTAGGCAGACAGCAGCTGTTTGTGGGGACAGTGGACAAGTAGGCTGCAGAGATGCTCCTACTGATTAGGAAGGCAACCATTCCTGGGCTCTGTCTGTACCTCTGTGAGACAACCCAGGATCGGTCCCTCCTTACAGTCACATGGCCATCAAGAGGCTAGCAGTGTAAGTTTTTCCTGGTCCCTAGTTCAGGTTTTGGGCAAGGCCCTGCCCGTGTTTTCAGAAGGAGCCTTTTATGAGGCATATGCTTGCTTTCTGGCCATGTTCGACCTAAAGAGTCCCACAGCAGCTTGCTTGAGTGGGGCTTGAGGAGGGTGGGTCCCGAAGCGGCTGGTATGCTTTCTGGGTACTGGGAGGAAGGTCTGGTGGCCTCCTGGCACCTTGCTTGTCTAATGACTTTAAGCTGTAGTTATAATGGCCAGGTTGAGGCCAGGCTGGCACCTGTCTGCCTGCTCCTGACCAGTCTACACCATCTATTTTCTGATAATGGCAGATGTTTCTGATGGCAAGACCAGGGATCAAGGGAGGGGCACACCTCTGCCCACATCGTCCTCAAAGGATGCCTCAGGGACTACGGATCTCAGGTAGCATATCTGAAGGCAGGTATATACATTGCTGCCTCTTGCCTCAGTTTCCTCAGTGGGAAAAGAAGGCTGATGTCTATTTGCCTGGGCATTGCCCTGAGGGAGAGGCCCTCTCCAGGGCACCATTTATAAGTTATAGCCTCGTGCTGAATACTGCCCCACTGCTCAGTTCCTTTCTTGCCCATCTAAGATGTCTGCCTGTGTCTGCCTGGCTGTCAATGTCATCACTGAGACCTTCAGTAAGGAGTCGCTACCCATCAGGAGCAGGCCTGGCCCTAGGCCCCCTTGCCTGCTTCCTTAGACCCTATGTTTTTGCTGCTCAGCAGGATTGGTGAATGCATCCCTCATGCAAATGCTATCCGGAGCTATAGGTGGGCACAGCTCATATCTCCACATTCAAGTGTTGTCACACCTCTGCCTTAAAGATGGTCAGGGCAGACCTGTTACCATGGAGACTAGGGGCACTGCTAGTTACAGGCTATGGATGAGAAGCTGCTTTGATCAGATGGTAGCAGTGGCTAGAGGCTGGGCCCAGGCCACAACAGCCTATGCTCTGGACTCCAGACTAGCAGTCCTGATATGGTGTTATGTCCTGAGGTCATTAGCACGCTTGTACAGTTGATTTTGCTCCAGAAAGCCACCTGACTGCCGATTTCCAGAGGAAAGGGCCTGGTGGGTATAGCATGACTGTTGGGCAAGTCTTTTACTGGACCCAGACCTGAGATCCTTGCCCAATTTCATTTCTGTTGTGTGGGGTAACCTGTGACATTAAGACTTGACTTTGGGTGACCCCCCACCTCATCTTTACTCCAGGCAACCAGAAGTATCGGCTTGGTTCTGCCATTAGCAGAGAGGCATTCACAGCATGGCCCATGTCCTAGGCTTCTTGGGAAGCAGACACTCTGGAGCTAGCAAGAATATCTCAGTTCTTTTTGACCAGGGAGCATTGCTTAGACACTGATTGTTGAAGAAGGATCTGACATCCACTTGGGGAGTGATCTGTGCTTCACCGTGGACCTTCTAGCCAATGCCCTTCTCTGACAAGGAGGGCAGAGCACATAAGCATTCTAGGCTGAACTAAGGATGGATGTAGTCACTGGGCCTAGCTGGGTGTCTGTCAGGATAGACCAAATGGGCTTTGGAGGTCAGCAGAGTATCCACATTTGCTTTTCTGGGGACCACCTGTGGCTCAGGAAAGGTCCGGGAACCACCCAGAGAGGGTACTGGGTAGCCCACCAATGATGTCCAACAGCTACTGGAGAAGCACAACTTAGCTTAACAGGCTCAGTCTGAGCCCAGCAGGCTTTGTCTCTCTAGCTGCAAGAAGCCAGACCCACCTAGAACTTCATCCACTCCGAGGATCACCACATTTCCCCCAGTGCCCATCACCTGTGATGCTGTACGAAACAAATGCCGTGAAATGCTGACTTTGGCCCTGAAAACGGACCGTGAGTATTACAACCTCTGGATTTTGACACTTGTCCAAATTCACAGAGTGGCCTGGGCCTCTGCCTGCTTTAGAGGTTTCTCTGTGCAACAGCTCTGGCTGTCCTGGAACTTGCTTTGTAGACTAGGCCTCAGACTCACAGAGATCCACCTGTCTCTGCCTTCCAAGTGCTGGGATAAAAGGCATGTGCCATCAATGCCACATAGCTCTTCTCTTTAGCCCACTGTGACCTAGGGAGGAGGCTGGGTTTTTTGGGGTCACCAGAATACCCGTATCTTGGGAACTGTCTCCCAGGAATGCAAGTGTCATATTTAGCTTCTAGGGCTCTGTGCAAGCAGAGGCGTGGCAGATGGAAAAAGCCAGTGGGGGAAACTAATGAGGGCTCCCTCTTGCAGATGACCACATGGCCGTCGGTGTAGACTGTGAGCATCTGTCAGCTCAGATCGAGGAGTATATCCTTTGTACAGTGTATACAGGGTCAGAGGCTTCTGGTAGAGTCTGTAGGTCACTGAGTTGTGCTTCTCCAGTAGCTGTTAGACACCACTGGTAGGTTATCCAGTGCTCTCTTGGGGTGGTCCCCTGACCTTTCCTGGGCCATGGATAGGTAAAGGGCTGTGACTACTTCATAGGTAGATCTGGGCTTCAAACAGGAATGGGTTTAGAGAAGGTACAACACTATAGCCCCTCAGTTCCCCCACAGGGCTTGAGTGGGTAGACTCATTCCTATAACTCCAAGGAGAGGATGGAGCTCAGAAACCTCAGATGGGTCCTTAAATACCCTTACGCATCTTCCTGGATGTGGGAAATACAGACATGAAGTACAAGAACCGTGTGCGGAGCCGAATCTCCAACCTGAAAGATGCCAAGAACCCTGGCCTGCGGCGGAATGTGCTGTGTGGTGCCATTACACCCCAGCAGATAGCTGTGATGACATCAGAGGTGAGCCCCACTGCAAGGGCTGGGCAGGATGTTTCTGCAGAGCTGCAGACTGAACACTTGGCCCCTTTATCAGGAGATGGCCAGTGATGAGCTGAAGGAGATCCGCAAGGCCATGACCAAGGAGGCCATCCGTGAACATCAGATGGCCCGTACAGGTGGCACACAGACCGACCTGTTCACCTGCAGCAAGTGCAGGAAGAAGAACTGCACCTACACGCAGGTTGGGGTCCACTCTATCTTCCTTGGCTGGGACCTCAGGGCACACCCATCCTCTTCTTGGATACCACCCATGTCCCTATTTTTGCTGGTCTGGGGTTCTGTGGCAGGGCTAGGTGGCTTGGCCCTGCCCAGCATGGAGAGACAGGAGTGCAGTATTCTGTTTGGCTGTGGGACCTTCAGACCTTGCTATGGAGGGGGAGGCTGAAGTATTCCGGGGAGACCATGTGTACTCCAAGAGATATTGGGTACTTGGGAAGAGGTGAGTGAATTAAGATGGTCTCTTTGGTAGATTGTTCCAGGGCTTGTGGAAGCTGCCATCATCTGTAATAGGGCATGCATGAGGGCAGGATAGCTCAGTCCTCACTACTTATAAGAACTGGCCCTGTGAGATAAGGTTTTCTCTTGGGTCTCCCAGATGGCCAGGGCCACTGGCATCTCTGCTGATCCTTTCACTATATAGACCCTCCTGTTGGGAATTCTGTACTTATCTGACATTCTGGACTCTACTGAGCCCAGTTGTTCAGGCCCATAGGCCTAGTTCTAAAAGGTTGAGGTCACTGGGAAATTTCAAATCAAGTCATCAGTAGAGATCAAGGGGTATGAAACCAGTACTGTCCAGATTAGGGCAGCAAAATCAGGAATTCAGCCACCCACCCTACAGGTGCAGACCCGCAGCTCCGATGAGCCCATGACCACTTATGTTGTCTGCAACGAGTGTGGGAACCGCTGGAAGGTAGGTGGGTGGGCCCAGAATGCTCACCTCCAGTCCTGTCTCAGCATATATCAGACCCAAAGTAGGAACCAGGGCCCATTATACCCAGCTAGTTTCCTGGGAGTCTCTGTCTTATTTTTGCCCTAGGGGGTCATGTGGGGCCTTGGTCAGACATTTCCCTGCCTTCCTGCAGTTCTGCTGAACCCTTGTACTGATGTGTTGTAGTCCTGGCCATGGCCAGCATTGCCCCCTCCTGCAATGTTCTTGGTGGACACAGCTTCTCTGGAGATCCTCAGAAGGTGGCATGCCCTGTCCCAACCTGCCTGCCTGGTGTGCACCTTTCTGCCCTTTGTCCCTCATTATTAAATGTTTTCTTTTGCCTTCCTCTGGCCTTGCTCTTGGTGGGAGTTACATAGGCTTCAGCTGGGTCCTGTCCTCCCATCACCCTAGACATCTCTCCTTCCTGGGCTCAGACAACACTTGAGCTAAGCTGTGATAGGGTAATATAGGCAAGAGCATGTCTGTTTTTTAGAGAGATTACTTGTACATGTGATTCTAGGACATTGGTGGTACTGCTTATATGTGTGCCATCATGCTGGCTGTGTGGGCAGGTGACATATGGGACTTGTTAGAACAGGACTTTGCCCAGTGTTCACCCATCCTCACCAGACATGGCAGCCCAAGGACCTGGTGCCCTTTCAGGATGTTTTGCTTTGTCTTTCACTCTGCTCACCACATGGGAGAGGATGGTCTCTGGGCTGAGGTCAATTCTAGCTTCAAATTGCTCAAACTCCCAGCAACTTGGAGGATCAAAGTAGTGGGTGCTTTGCTTTATTGGACCCGTAAGACAAAGACGACATTGTGTCTAGCTACTTTGAGGAGGCCAAGCCATCAGCTTTGTCCCCACCAGGCTCTGGGAAGACATTTCACCAAGTATACAAGGGTTTGGGATCATCTCCAGTTGCATCTCAAGCCCAAGAGTTGAGGCCAGTTCTGAGAGCCATACCTTGGGCAGGGCACAGGGTAGAGATGGATGACCCTCTTTTCTAACCTCCTACTCTAATTGTGGGATAAACAGAAACTTGTTTTAAAAAGGTCAAGAATACGATATCATGTTTTTGGCATGTGGTAGAATACAGATGAATGTGAAAGCTTTCTTTTTTCTTTTGTACAATAAGGACATATTTCCAATTTTAAAGTTCATTAACATATAAAATATAAATGGGCTCTTCATTTGAGCCTGACTCTGAGGTCCCACATCTGGTTCTGAGGAATAAACAGTTCTGCTACAAACCTGTTGGCGTAGAGGCTGTTCTCTATGAGAACATCTCCTGGGCACATGACTAGGGGCTCTGAGGCACCATCTAGGAGACCCCCAGTTGGAGCAGGCTAGGGCAGAGCAGAACACTGCAGTTGACACTGAGACTGAGTCTATTTCCAGCCAAATGGGGCAGGGTTAGCCCCTAGTCTGCCCATAGAGTAGAATATGTGTGTGGCAAGCACCTAGGCCTCAGAGGAGGACTGTGGGGCCCCCTGGAGTAGCAGAGAACGGTAGGTGGGGGAGGTGAGGAAGCGAGGATAGGAGTCCCGGTGCATGAGGGTGTAGATCTGCAGCTGTGCATCATCAAATGTGTGTGGCGATGGCTCCTGCATCTTCCTATTGATGCCTTCTCGCACACGGGAGTCCAGGCTCACCTGTGTGGCAGGCACCAAGGTCAGGGAGTGGGGCGGTGCCCTTCCCAGGCCACCCCCACTTATCCCTGCATCTGGCGCACCTCCTTGGGGGACAGGATGGACACGTAGTCCTCATAGATAAGTCGTGCCTTCTCATCCACCACATGTTGGTTGGCCTCTGCTTTCAATTCCTCACAGGCCAGCCAGAAGAGCATGTTCTCTTCACTGTATTCTGTGCGCAGGAATGCCCGGAACACACTGCGGCCCGTGGGGCTATGCATCAACTTGTCAAAGGACTGTGCCCAGCTTTGTACTTCCTCAGGGCTTGGTGGAGTGCTGCAGGCATTAGGGCCGGACCATGTCAGACCTGAGACATGCACACAAGTACACATACATTCATGCATACACAATGGTGGCTGTACTCACCAAACTTCACAACTGGGGAGGGGTTGCAGCTTGCTTTCCCGAGAAGCCTGCCAAGCTCGCTGCCGTTCTTGGTTCCTAGAGGCAAAGGAAAGTGGCACTACCTTACGTACTTGGGTTCTTTACACATCACTGTGGCTACATGTATGCTTTGGCATGTGGGTGCCTAGCACCAGTAAGTCTGTTGCAAGGAAGCTCCTAGTGTGAGCCTTCCTCACATCCTCTTGTTCCCCCATTGAGGCCTCTTTCCTAGTCAGCACTTAGACTCCTCTGATTCCTGGTATCCCTCCCTCTCTTTGGACTGCTGGGTAGAACCATACTCTTCAGCCTAGTTCCAGCTCATTCCTCAGGCCACTGTAAAACCACACTTCAGGCTTAATATCAGCAATATGACTCATCAGCTAATGTAGGGTTAGAGCCCCTCCAATGTGTCTGTACCTAGATCGTGAACCCTGCTCCAAGGGAAACTTCTCCCTGTCAGTCTATGCTCAGCTGGCACAATGAATGTCTCATTGCCACAAGTGTGGAGACAATTCAGTTCCCACCAGGCCTGACTTCTCAGCAACAATACAGCTCAAGCTTCCAACAAGCCCTACCTATTCACATTTCATTCCTTGAATCTTGCCTGTATACAGGCCTTGATGGTTTCCTGTTCAATAGATCCCTCAGTCCATGTAGGGCCAGATTGCTGTTAAGGTAGAGAAAACTTCTACCATCAAACACCCACAAACCTTAAATACCTTTCTGCCCAGGGCAGGCTGTTCCCTTATCCAAGTCTCTTCTCAAATGTGTCCCCTACTTCACAACATCAGGGGTCTGGGCAGCTCTCAGTGGTATAAACAGGTATATGGTGAGTGCATAGACACCATATGCATGGCACTTGCTTGGCTCTTGCATATAATATACCCCCAGCACACCAGGTTTTAAGAGCCACACAAAGGGGCTGGAGAGATTGCTCAGTGTTTAAGAGCATTTGCTGATCTTCCATAGGACCTTGGTTTGGTTCTCAGGACCTACATCACATTGGCTCTCAACCATTTGTAACTCCAGTTCCAACACCTTCTGGCCTCTTCAGGTACCAGATATGCATGTGGCACTCAAACACATAAAATTTAAGAGCCATATAAAGCCCCTTAGAGGATCTAGGCACTACTACCAGCCAATAAGGCCCAGCAGTCTCTGGACAGGGCAATGCTGTGGCAGGGGCACCTGCCTACAAGTAGTTTCTTGGAAGACTCTGGAGGGTCTAAGGAGGGCTGGGTCTGAGCCCTAAAAGCCACCCCATTCCAGCCCTGTATGTTTCTGTACCTCTCCTATGAGCTGCTCCCCAGGCCCACATACCTGTTTGGTGCCTCATTGACCATGTACCCCTGCCCAAATGCCGTGGGGTCTTCCCAGTGCAAGCTGCACCCTCAAGGTCCACATACCAGGAACAGCTGCAGCAGCAGCACCAGCATAAGCAGCAGGGATTGCGACTGGGGGGTCCTGAGGGAGCTGCATCATGGCTGGACATCGAGGGGGGCCTGTCCGCCTCCTCTGGTCCTGTGTGCTGAGGAAGAGGGAGTTGCCTCAATCCCCCCTCCAGATTCACTGGACCCTGTGTCTCTGCCCACCTGCCCAACTGGCTGTGCCCCCAAGGTTATGCTATCTCGGGCCTCAGGAACCCAATTAGAAGTGGGAAGTGCCTACCTGTTTCTCAGCCTCATGTGGGGTGGGCATGGGTGGGTGGAGGGGGTCGCCCAGGTTCTGTGGTGCCAGCTCTGGACCGTCACTGCAGCCTGGGAGCCTGGTGGATCTGAGAAGAGTGTTGGAGTTCTGACTGACCGGAGCCCACCTTGTAACCTCTGCACTAACCTCAGGGAGAGGTCCCTCAGAGGGAGCTTGGTTAGAGCTCTGCCTCAGCCTTCTACCCCAAGCCTGAGTGCTTACTCCATATAGAGGTGCCCGACTCAATGATGGGGCTACTGCAGTTGGGCCTCCCACAAAGGGCTCCAAGACACCCCCATCTGCTCGGTCCCTGAGAAGCCGGAAGCCTGGGTTCCTCTTTCTTGGCTTCCGGCTCCTGGCCCCTCCCAAGGGGACTGGAGCTACAAGCTGGTATGGAGGGGGTCAGATATTCTGACCACTCCCTCCCTCTGGGGAGGTGGGTAGAGATGCTACCCAGATGACTGCAGAGGGTAGGTCTGAAGCATTGAGTACTTGAGTGGGACTCAGATCAAGACTTCCTGAAAGTGAGGAATGGGAGGCGGGTTATGCATTGATAAGAGGTGTATACTCAGGTAACAAGATTCTTTGGTTCTCAGCTGCCTCAGACACTCCCGCTTCCACCCTGGTTTCCCTTTATCTCCCTAGGATGCAGAAACAGGGAGTGCTAGCTATGGAAGCTTGGTGTGGCAATGTGGGAGGATCAGCTGCTTAGCTGGAGCCTTGGGCTCTTCAATGGGTTTTCATGTCATTACTCTTGATGTTTGGACCACACTTTCACAGGGGGTTCTAGGAACCTCTCAGGCCACTGAAAGCTGACTTCAAATTCCAGTGTCCCCAGGAGACACAGAAGGAAAACATCCAATCAGCACCTTGGCAGCAGTTTTGAATGCCCCCAGCCTATGCTCATTTCTGTCCTGGCAGAGGCCATCCAGACTTTAAGACTTCTGCTCTCTCCACCTTCCTCTCATCAGCCTGGGGCTCACATTACTTTCTCCATGAAATTCACCCTCCTGTAGCCCCTCATCCAGCAGAGGCCCTCTAATCCTGTTCTGCCTGAGCTCTGTACACTGAGGGCAGCCTCACCACCGGACTTGATTTCTGAGATGGTGGGTTCCCAAGTCTCCCAGCATGCAAACCAGGACACAGAAGTAGCTTGAGCTGTACTTCCCTGGAGTTGAGCTTCTAGAGAAAGGAAGGGGCGTGGTAACTAGAGGTCTCTAGGCTCTCCAGAGTTGTCCTCCTTCATACCGTCACCCTGCAGACCATCCCTCAGATGCTCCATCTCCAATCGGCTGACTGGACAGGGAACAGCCTGGGGTGTGGGATGTGGATGCTGGGGTCCAGTGGGTGCAGAGACAGGTGCCTGCCCTTTTCCCCAGCTGCAGGCTCTGGTCCTGCCTCCTTGCAACCATCAAAGGTCAGTTGGGACCACCCATGTCGTCCAGGGTGCTCTTGACTATTGCCTCCCTTCTTTCTGGGGAAGGGGAGCCCAGAGTCTGAATTAGGGTTTTCCTGCCCCACATCCGGATATTGGAGGGCCCATTCCCTCCCCAAGCCTCCCAGGCGGTAGCCTCCCAAGTCTATACTGAGAGACCAGATACAGTTAATCTGGTCTCTGGGGACAGAAGCTCCCTGGGGAACGGCTGCCGTGTTGCTCCATAGAAGAAAAAAGAACCTCCAAGCCCGCCCAGTCCAAAAAAAAAAGAAAAAGAAAGAAAGAGAAAAAAAAGAAAAGAAAATGGGACAATTCCAGAAAAAAAGTCATAACCTTTGGGAGGGGGCTAACAGGGGTTCCATTCCCCCTTCTATCCCACACTGTCATTGTCCTACGTGTACCTTCATGGCAGGCCAGACCTCTCTCACCACGGCGAACCCTGCTGCCCAAGCCCACCTGTGGGACGGTAGGCCCCCACCCAGTTCCTGCTTTCTGCCGGTGGGGTCATCTAGAGGGCTGGTCTCTTCTTCGAGGTCCCTCTCGCAGTATCTGACGCCCCCACCCCTTTCTTAGGGAATTCGCCATGGCGCCCCACTCACCAGCGACCTAAAGGCGGATGGGGGCGGGAGGGCCAGGTTCGGTCTGGGCCCCACCCTGGCTGCCGAAGGGGCGTGCTCTAAAGCAGCAGGGACTTAAGTCCGACGATGTACTCCTGGGTATTCGCGAGGTCGGAAGGCGCACAGAATCCCGCTCGGGTGGGGCCGGGGGGCGCAACATTCACCCCTAAGGCTCTCCGGGCCCGAGTGGCAAGAGGACCCAACTCGAAGGGTGGGTAAGGTGGTGGATCTGGTGTCTTGTCTGGCCCCTCCCCACTAGGCTAGCGGGCGGGAGACACGGAAACCTGGGTTCTTCCGGCCCCCACCTTTAGCAATTACTTCTCAAAGCTCTGCACTAAAGAAAAAGGGGAACCTTGTTGCGGCTTTCCCTCCCCCACGCGCAGGGAGTGGGCTCCCGTCCCACCGCGACCGAGGTCCACGTGGACCGGTCACTGAAGTCCGGGAACAGAGCCGGCATCTACATCGCCGGTGCCCGTCCGCGGTCCAGCACCGCACTCACCGCCGAGTCCCCGAGTCACACCGCCCGCGCGCTCCGAAGTCCTGCTGGTCGCCGGGGAGGGGGCGCAGGCGCAGTGCGCAGGCGCCTCCGCGGTACTTCCCCAAAGAGAGGGGCCGGGACTTCCTCGAGCCCCAGCGCCTGCTCGCCCGCAGTGCCCCGCCCCGCGCCCGCTCCCGCGCCCCACCCGCGCTGGCGTGTCGTCCCGTGGTAGCGTGGCATGGTGACCCTGAGGGGTGACTCGTACAGACACAGTGGAATGAGCCGGCGCTCCGTCTGGTTAGCTAGGTTTTCCCCGGCCTTTCCTTTAGGTGGTAGTGCGCTGAGGGGCACCAGAGCTGAGCCCTGTGTGCTCCTTGGCTTGTCTGGATAAGAAGAGGCCTTTGGGAAGGACTGGCCTGTGGTACTGCCCCGTCTGGCTGACCCCTTCGCATTTCTGAGTCTGGTCTGTAATGCGAGGTTAAAAGTCTGTTACTCTGCTGTGGAACTTTCTCAGAGAAAGGGAGGTTCAGGAACTGCAGCTTGGTGGGCACTGTGAATACAGGTTCTTATATCAAATTACCCTGAAAGTTTCTAGGGCCTGGTTGAGTCCCTGTTGACCCCTCCAACTGCTCCAAGATAGCCTTTTCCACAAATGGCCTTGCTCTTTGGCCACCTCGTCAGATTCCTTATGTTTGGGTGTAGATTTGAATTAGCTCATTATTCCACATCCCAGTGTCCAGGGACCCCAACCCTACTTTAGACTTGGTCTGTAGGGTGTATGTGGTTGCTTGGGCGGCGTGGCTCCTGATCTTCTTAGCACTGGAACACAGCCTGACCAGTTCAGGTGTTGAGGTCTTGCTAACAAAAATGCTTTTCAATTGCACAGGTTGTATAAGCTTACCACCCAAGTCAGAGATGCAAAGCAAACACTTCACATGAGCTCTTCATGCAGTGGGACAGAGGCAGACAGACTAACCTGGAGCTGAATGCAGTGGACTAGATGGGGAGACAGACAGAAAAGGGATGGGGTGAGATGTGAGGAGGGCAGGATGCTGCCATGATGCTCAGAGAGCCTGGGTGAAGAGAGAACAGTAGTTGAGAGCCTGAGACTACCAGGCTTCCTGTAATGCCATGTGGGGCTTGATGAATTGACCACAGAACCCTTTGGCTGCCAAAATGATGGATTCCAAAGCAAGATAGTGGCTAAGAAGCCCATCTGAACAGTAGTAATTGCTTTAGATAATAATCCTGAGAGATGGACACTGTTCAGAACAGGGAGCCCAGTAGAAATGGGTCAATACCAGGTAAAGACCACAAAACAAAGCTGGTTCTGCAGTATTTGATATGGGCAACTCTCTGTGGGTAGAAGTCAGTATGCTTCCCTTCAGTTCATTTTACATGCCTACTCACTTGTTCTCTACCACCTTACATCTGCCCTCCACTCAATTAGCATCTTTCCTTAAGCACACACACAAAAAAATGCCTCTAAATCCAGGAAGAAGATCAGGAGCACTGAGCAAGTGATGCCAGTGGGGATGGAACTTTAACCCCAAATACTCTTTTCCAGAGCAGGAACCCCCAGCTGCACACAAGCCCCACTTAATTGTGCATGTGCTACAGGCTTTATATCCCTGTAGGATTTTCTTCAGACAAAGGGATCCTATGCCACCTTCCTTAGCCCTCTCTGTAAACCTAATCCCTCACTGATGTGGAGATCAAGTGGCACGCTTAAGCTGGTCTGATACTTGGTGTAGAGCTCTTGTGCCATCGTTGAGCTGGCCTTCTCAGGATGTTGGTCTTTGTTCTCAGCCCTCTGCTCTGAAGTACTTATATGAATTACTCACTGTGTGGGACACTGCAGCAATCTTAGGTATCTCTGTAACCACCATGAAGAAATGCAAGGTCAGAAAAATGATGGAATAATGGTATGACTTTACTAAATAGATGAAGTTTTTCTAGGCACTTAACAAATCTCCAAGAAACAAATCCTGGGGTCTAGACAACAAGGAACTTGTCCAGAGGAACCCAGCATTGACTATCATCTGGTATAATTGACTGTCATTAGAGGACTACACCTGGGTATGTATGACCATCATTCCTGGATGAAGAGACTGTCTCCTTTTCCCTATCCATACCCATGTCCAAACCTGTAGCAGGGTCCTGTACTGTTGTTCCCTTTGGGGAAGGGGGCCAAGTAGGTGCAGAGTCAATGACACAGACTCTGGGAGAATGTCAAAAGAAGCAGCTCAGTTTATTCAGGAAGAGGCAAGTATTATATACCCCCCACCCCACCCTGGGAGAAGGTCTGATGAATATGCATCTGCTGGTGTGACACGGCTGCCTATCATTGGTACAAGTCATCTCTAGATCATGTCTCAGCTGCTGTTGCTAAGGCCCTTAGGCAGACTCAGGTTGGCTCTCAGAAAGTATCTTTTTTTACTGGTTTGGGCTGGCTGGCCCTCAAGCCTGTTAGGGATGAGTCATCCCACATATCCATCCCTCTTTATTATTTTATAGGACATGCTCAGTGGGAGCTAGGGTGCATTGCCCTAATCTTGTTGACCCCACCTCAGGAGAGCTCAGCATAATAGACTCTGCCTGCCTTTGCTTTGCTTACCAAACAAGCTTGTACCTGTCATTGACTACCAGCCCTCGAAGAGCATCAATCCTGGAGAGCTGTCTAGGTGGTGGGCTTTAGGCAGTAGCCTTCTGTATCTCAGTGAGCCATGCATGCCTTATCTCTCAGAGGACTTTGTTCTAGGTGTCTGAGAGCCAATAAAACCTGTAGGGTCGCCTTTGTGGCTGCCTTCTGTTGGTGAACCTATTGCAGAAGATATTTGAACAAGAGAAGGATTAGTCAAAAATTCAGTCTTAAGGACCATGGATGGGACCCTAGTCATATTTATTGTGCTAATCGAAGTCTTTCTGGTGATGCATTAGTGACCTTGTAGGGGGTGAGGCAATTGCTTGATATCTAGGGTCACATGCCAGTGATGACATGACCTTTACTAATGCCACAATAGCGGGGCAAATCATACATTACCCCTCTGAAACTTCTTTGAGCAATGTCTCTTGGTCTGTTGCCCAATGCACATCTCTTGAGGGTATCCATATTGGCATGGTGGTATTCTGGGGAAAAAATGCAAGCATACCTTCGCCCCCAGGTTAATAGGTGAGCAGGTAGTGCCACTGAAGAGTGATGGGATCCCTCCATCGCACCAAGGGCAATGGTGTCTCCTGAGGCAAGTAAATAGGTGTGTTGTCTAATTTGGGCTTGTGTGACAGGGTTAACCTATGGTTCTTGGTCCATGAGCATCTCGAGAAACATCGATGTTATATTGTATATTAAAATGAGCCTGAGCCTTGGCCTGATCATCATAGGCAGCTCACCAGTTAAGGAAGACCAAAGGCTCCAACACAGCCTTCATCAAATGGTACCAGTCATAATAAGTCTGTAAATGCATTGCTCATTTCTGTAGGACTTGCTCAAAATATGGCAAGTCAGGACCTGACTCATTAGCAGCGTTAGGGACCAAAGACAGGTCTGCAAGAGGGGTAGGTATCCATGGCTGGTTGGAAGCATTGGGGTCCACATTAACTGAAAACACCATAGTGGGCATATGCGGCACCATAGGTGGAATAGGCTGTGAGGTATACAGAGCAGCTGTCTCGGCAGGCAGACATCCAGGAAAGTCACTCTGTGGATACTGCAGTGGGGGGTAGCCACTTGAGACATGAGGGGAGCAGAGATAGGGGCTGCCAGTATAGGCTTGGGCACTGCCGCAATCATTTCCTCTCTCTTTCCATCCCTTTCCTTTACTTTACGCCTATTTCCATCCATCTCCTTGTCAGCAGAGGCAGAGGAAATATCAGTCATGGATGGAATGAAGGTGATAGATAAGTTGGTGTTACATTGCTCCTGGCAGTGCTTATTGTGGGCCTTAATGACGTCTTCAGTAGAGGAGGACTTTAGGCCAGTGATCATAGCCAACAAAATGGGCATAAAAACCAACTGGAGGGTTACTCCTGAGGCCACTTCCTTTTTTTCTGGCCAGGAACAGAACTCTCATCCAAAGATCAGGTTTCCACATGTTCTCTGAAGAGATCCATGGAGCAAGCTCCACAGCCTCCATCCAAAACCTTACTAGTTCTGATGTTGTAGCCCAGAGCCCCTGGCTGGTTAGGAGGAACTTGAGGGCTCCAGTAGGGGCCTCTTTATGGTGAGGGAGGAAATTTCCCATAGTGTTAGAAGGTGTGATAAACAACAGTGACTGTGGCTCTGTTTCCTGAGGGTCCAGCCCTTATATGGAACACCAGGCAAGCCTGAACAAAAGCATGTGCCACCCTACCATGCAGACAGACTCACAAGACAAAAGAAGAAAGTGGGGGGTCCCAGCATTTACCTGCTGAAGGGACCGAAAGCACGCAATGTACAGGGGCCTACTCACCGAAATACACCGCTCAAGGTGGTACTCAACCAGTGCTGCACATGAGTAAAAGGAGACAAACAGTCCCTGTTGCCAAGCATCAGATGACCCGGGTTTCAGCACCAGATGTGACAGGGTCCTGTGCTGCTGTTCCCTTTGGGGAAGGGGGGCAAGTAGGCGCAGAGTCAATGACACAGACTCTGGGAGAATGTTGAAACAAGCCGCTCAGTTTTTTCAGGATGAGACAAGTATTATATACCCCCCACCCCACCCTGGGGGAAGGTCTGATGAATATGCATCTGCTGGTGTGACACGGCTGCCTATCATTGGTACAGGTCATCTCCAGATTATGTCTCAGCTGCTGTTGCTAAGGCCCTTAGGCAGACCCAGGTTGGCTCTCAGAAAGTATCTTTTTTTACTGGTTTGGGCTGGCTGGCCCTTAAGCCTGTTAGGGATGAGTCATCCCACACAAACCTACCATTTCCCTGCTCTGCCATCCTTCCCATTGCCTGAACCCCCCTCCTCACCTCCTGAGAGCTGCTGATGATTTGTGATTGCTGCCATTTGGGTTTGGATCAAGGCCCAGGGCACCAATAGGCCAGAAAGTGAGAAGGGTCATGTTCAGGGGGAGAAAACCAGCTAAGGAAACAAAGCCCTGGGAACTGGCCATCAGTCAGTAAGATCCTTCTGTGCCGCGGACTGGGTCTCAGTAGGAACATCAGACCGAGGGAGAACGGGTTGAAGGTACTCAGGATAAGTGGGATTTGGCGAATGACAGACAGACACAGACATCAGAGTATGCTGTGAACTGTTGTAATTTTACTCAGATCAAGCAGTGTTTTTTATACAATCATTTGAAGAAACATGGCAATCGGCCAGTGGGGCGATAGACATAGAATTAACAATGTGGTCACATAATTTTTTCAGAATGATTAATAGATCTCATGAGTACAGGTGTTATTTTTTCTTTTGTGGTCCCTCATCCAGACAGAGAACATTACGGCCCTAGCTGAAGTTTTTCCTTCTACGTAGTTATTAGACCTTTGTTTTGTATCACAATTAAACCCTTCCCACCATCGTTCTAATCATGGTTTCATTTGTGTGAAAATATTTAACCTTTGCTTGCAGGTGAGAAGGCACCAGGGGGGTTGGGACCTAGCTATTCTTTCCATGAACTGTAACTTATGCCATTCTGTTTTCATACTATTATGATTCACCCATTGGTTCCCATGTTTATCATAAGCTCCCGTAAAGGGCAATGGCTCCAAATAATTATTATATCTAGGATCAAAGTTAGGGGGTTGCCACCACCGACCCTTGATGAGAAACTCTATTTGTCCCTTGATAATTCTTGTAGGACTGGCTAGTTCCTGTAACTGCTTTCTTGTAGCTGCTGTTGGCTGCGCGTGTGGATTGTTTATGAGTTCCTGGACTTTTACTTTCATCTCTCCTCGCTAGACTCTTTGTCCCTCTGAGTCATAAGTTCTTTTTGTTCTAAGTCATTCATAAATTCCCCCAAACTTCTAGGACCCTCTTTAACTGTTTGCCTAAAAGCTTGAATTATAGGTGGGGGTATTGAGGCCACTTTTGAGGAATCATTATACTCTTTATGGGGCACATCAGGAACATTGAGAGCTAACTCCCTGAAATTAATACACAAGGAAACAGCAATAGTCACAGCTGCAAAGAGAAAAAGGCAGAGTGCCAGCCAGCCTCTGCAAGCAGATTTTGTGTGGTTCCGTGTAGCCTGGCACCATGATTCGGGCAGATTGATAAGGGGTCGCCGGGGGCATAGACCCGAGGGCCACGAGCCCCCCTTTCCCACGTAACCACCTCATCCAAGGCATTTGTCACGCGGGCGACACCGTCGTGGGCGTGGCACTTCTGGACCACAGTTTCGATTTCTTCTCCCTCCTTTCTGTTCTCTGTTCCATGCAGAACCAGTCGGAGCTCCCATGCAGAGCCGGGGAGCTGTCTACCTCCCTATAGTTTCCACCTCGGCAGCCTGCTGGGTAGGGAGGCTGGGAAGGAGGACAAGGCCAAGGGACCAAGGGGCCAAAAAGACCACAGGTTCTGCAAAGAGCCCATGCTGTGGAGAAGAGGAAGATGAGCTGCCCAGAAACAAGGAGTTTTCAGAGTCTAGTGGTCAGAACGGGATAGGTGGCTTCCTTCTTGTGCTCGTGTTTGGTGGATGAGTGGGCACAGGAGGCTGTTTCTGATGAAAGGGAGACTGTGGGTGAGTCTTGTCCCACCATCCAGGGACCTTGGAGAGGAGGACCCCATTCACAACCTGTTGGTCCTCTGGGCATGACTGGACTCTCCAAAGGCCAGCTTTGGCTTTGCAGTCATTCTCTCTCCTAGGATGCCACCCCAGTCCTCAGATGGAATGACCCTAACTTTGGAGACATCCCTTTCTGGGAGTGTACAGGCAGGCTCATCCCTATCCTTTTCCACATTAGTAACCCCCCTGCCCCGCCCCAACACACACACTCACCTCTATGGCCCTGAACAGCACCCATTGCCTGATGGGAGTTGATGGTTGGGGGCATAGCTGTTCCTTTAACATCCACCCACCGACATCTTACTTTGGAGAGCCCATCTCTTGTACCCTGAAGTCTGTGACTGTGACTGTGGGAGAGGCAGCATCCATGCTTGCCCTTCCCATTGGGAACCCAGGAGCAAAAGAGGGAAAAGACCCGAACACCCTCTGAAGAGAACTTTATGTGAGAGGGGTGGGGAGCCGCTCTAATCCAGGGTCTCTGTAGGCCAAGGTCGCGGGTCATCGTGGGAAGATGCTGCCATCCACAGCCTCTTCCAGGATTGTCTCAACACGTCTCCGCTGGGGAGAAAGGGGTTAGGGTCAGTGTGTGATGAGGCACGGGGCCCATTACCCACTCCCACCCGTCTTCTGTTTTGCTTGCACCTCTTGACGGCCCAGAGGATCGGGGATCTTCGTGGGCTTCAGTTGGGGTGGTAGGAACAGTTCTAGCCTGATGGCGGCGCGTGCGGAGCCCTGCTTCTGGATCAGGAGAGCGATTTCCTCTGCCTGGGAACCGAGTTTACTGAGCAACCCTGGCGAGCTGTCCAGAGGCAACCCTCCGTCTGCCTCCTCCCACAAGCAGGGTGGGCCCTCTTTCTCTGGGGCGCTCCCAGTAGGCCCTTTGCATACCCGCATTCGGGTGTAGCGCAACCTCAGCGCCCGGACTCGGCCGCGGGCTTCTGCGGCCTTGAGAACGCCCAGAAGCCTATTCTGACGCTCAGCTGGTGGTTCAAATGCCTGCGTCCAGATACGTGGGGTCGGGCATGCAGTAGGGTATCTCCACTGACTCGCGTGGAAAGATGGAGGCGGCTGCGCCTGCGTCGTCGAGCTATGGTGATATTTTATTTGTATTAAAATGTTATTTGTATGTTAATAAATAAAGTTGCCCGGGGGGTCAGAGCTATTAGCAAGCCATAGGAAAGCAGGGCAGTGGTAGCGTACGCTTGTAATTCCAGCACTTAGTAGGCAGAGCTGGGTAAGTCTCTGTGTGTTCAGGGATACAGCCATTATTGGATACACATGCCTTTAATCTTAATACCAATCATGGAAAACCTGGAGGCCTATACAGACAGGCTGTGAGGAGGCGGGTCATGTGGTTGGGTTTACAACCAATGAGAAGGCAGGACAGGAACTCTATATAAAGATTTTAACACAGGGGTAGCTCTGGTTCGGAGAGGTAGGACCACTGCAGGAGGAAGGGTAAGGTTTTGGCTCTTGGCTCTGACCTCTTGGCTTTCTTCTTTGCATTGGTTCTGTGTTTATTGTTTGATGGGAAGGTTGGATACATCTACATTTGGCGCCCAACGTGACAAGAATTCATTAAAAAACCGATTGGCTTGGCTTGGCGGCAGGTCCGGTTTCCAGCCTGGGCGGCCCGGCTGTCTAGCTTGGGCCCAGGCCTGACTGACCCGCAGCTGGAACTGCTACAAACAATTCAGACCTGCCCCGCTGAACAGGGCCCCTGCCTGTAAAGCCAAGGCTTGACTTGGCTCAAGCGGCTACACTTTCTCTCTCTCTCTCTCTCTCTCTCTCTCTCTCTCTCTCTCTCTCTCGCTGGATTCACACCTCGAACACCAGGTGGCTGTGAAATTCCCTGGGATTCTACTGTTCTACCCAGACTTGGTAAGTCAATTAACATATCTATTTAAAAGAGAATTTTTTTCTACATTAAAAAAAAAAATGGGCTTTATGTGTACATTGGAAGAAAATTGGGCTTTGTTTGAAATTTTAGGCACTCTGACAATGGAACAACTATATGAAAAGATTAATATTGATCGAATTATTCAGTTTATTACTTTTCTTATCCTCATTTTACTATTTAAAAAGATCGTCAACTTAAGTGCCAGGATAACAGTCTTAGAAAAACTTGTTTAAACCGGTAAAAATGAATTATAGAGAAATTCAAATTCAGACAGAAGAAATAAATAGTGAAGTTGTTTCAAAATTGGATCGTAAGGTTACAGAAAGAAAGCCAGTTTTCACACAATCACCCTTAATTTATCCAGTAGCCGTACAGCAGCTACCTGATGAAGAGAATGAACAAAATACTTGGGTTCCAGTTGAAATGTTAGACTTACGAAGATTTAAGGAGGCAATAGCATCTTATGGCATGCACTCCCCATATGTAAAGCAAATGTTAAACACCTGGTCAACTTGTAATAGGATTATACCAAAGGACTGGCGGGAATTGGCACAGGCTGTTCTTGAACCCGGACAAAATCTCCAGTGGAAAATGTGGTTCAGTAATGAGGCTAAAAATATAGAAAGACAATGGAGGGATAGCGGAATACAAGTCTGCCAGGATCAGCTTATTGGCGAAGGCCAATATGCTTCAGTACAAACATAATGTTCATATGATATCCAAACCCTACTTCTATGTAAAACGGCAGCTTTGAATGCATGGGACAGAGTTGAAGAACCAGGAAAAAAAACTGAGTCATTTACAAAGGTTATACAGGGCCCCAAAGAATCTTTCACAGATTTCTTACAAAGATTGACTTCAGCAGTACAAAAAAATGGTCCCGAATTCAGAGGCTAGTCAGATAATAATTGAATCTTTAGCCTTTGAGAATGCAAATGCAGCGTGCAAAAGAATAATTAGGCCGTTAAAGGCAAGATCTGCACCTTTGGAAGATTGGATTAGAGATACAGTTAATGTAGAGGCTTATGACCATGATGATATGTGGGTAGGAAAAGCAATTTCAAAAGGTTTGAGCAATGTTAGATGTTTTGGATGTGGAAAGCAAGGACATTTGAAAAAGGGATTGTAAACAGATCATTCCTAGAAATAATGTTTATTCAAGGAACACTGGCAACAGAATGCCCCCTTCCTTCTGGAGTATGCAGAAGGTGTGGTAAGGGAAAACACTGGACCAACGAATGTAGATCAACAAGGGACAGACAGGGTAACCCTCTGCCTCGAGCTTCGGGAAACTCCCAGAGGGGCCTCAGGCAGGCCCCCACAGTAAATCCAGTTCAAACCTTTCCTGCAGTTGTAGAGGAAACCCCTACTCAAAGCAACTAAATAACCAAATGTCTATTGGAATAAATCATGTTAGTCGAGATGGTGAAACAGAGAAAATAGGAAATACAGGAAAAAACATAAAGAAAATTTTTTGGCAAACTTCTATTAATGAACAAAGACCAAAACTAACAATAAAAATAAATGGTGTTTTGTTGTCTGGTCTGGTAGACACAGGTGCTGACATTACCATAATTGCACCAGAATTTTGGCATCCAACTTGGCCTCTTCAGGAGGTAAACATTCAACTCTTAGGAATTGGGACATTATCTAGAGTGAAACAAAGTGTAAAATGGCTTGAATGTATAGGTCCAGAAGGACAGAAAGGAAAATTAAAACCATATATGGCTAACATAGCTATGAACCTGTGGGGTCGAGACTTGTTACAACAGTGGAATACTCAGATTAATATCCCTCCAATCTCAGAAACAAATCATAAATTAGTACATGTTTCTGAGAGAAATATTAAAAGATATTATTCTAATGAGTGCTCACCAGCCATCCATGTCATACAAGAACAGGGCACAACAACTGATAATCTTCCAAAAACATTAACAGCTCTACCTTTAAAATGGTCAACAGACAAGCCTGTATGGGTTCAGCAATGGCCTTTAACAACAGAGAAACTCCAGGCTTTACAAGAGCTGGTGGAAGAACAGTTAAATGCTCATCATATTGAAGAATCAACCAGCCCTTGGAATTCTCCTGTATTTGTTATAAAAAAAAAATCTGGTAAATGGAGAATGGTAACAGACCTTAGAGCAATTAACAAAGTAATTCAGCCAATGGGCTCTTTACAATCTGGAATTCCTTTACCTACTCTGTTACCAAAAGGCTGGCCTCTCATAGTTATTGATTTAAAAGACTGTTTCTTTTCAATACCCTTACAAGAAAAAGACAGAGAAAGATTTGCTTTCACAGTGCCTACTTATAATAATTCTCAACCGGTTAAAAGATTTCAATGGAGGGTTCTCCCACAGGGAATGTTGAATAGCCCAACTTTGTGCCAATATTTTGTAAAACAGCCATTAGAAGTGGTACGTAAAAAATTTCCTAAATCTATAATTTATCATTATATGGATGACATTTTATTAGCTGATTCAAATGCAGATACTTTAGAAAGAATGTTTGAAAAAGTAAAGAAAATTTTGCCTTGCTGGGGATTACAAATTGCTTTAGAAAAGGTACAAAGAGGAGATTCTATTAATTATTTAGGATATAAAATAGAACTTCAAAAAATTAGACCTCAAAAAGTGCAAATTAGGAGAGATCGACTACAGACTCTTAATGACTTTCAAAGATTATTTGGAGACATTTCTCATCTAAGAACTATTGTTGGGGTAAAAAATGATGAACTGAATAATTTGTTTAAAACCTTAGAAGGTGATAAGGACTTAAATAGTCCAAGAGAATTATCACCTGAAGCTGAGAAAGAATTGGCCTTGGTAGAAAAGAAAGTACATGAAGGGCACGTAGATCGTATTGATCCAAAGCTGGATTGCATTTTGGTTATTTTACCTTCTAGGCATTCCCCAACAGGAATATTAATGCAAAGGGAAGATATTATATTGGAATGGATATTTTTACCAAATAAACCAAATAAAAAATTAAAAACTTATGTGGAAAAAATCTCTGACTTGATTTGGAAAGGAAAATTGAGACTTCGTCAATTAGCAGGAATAGACCCAGCAGAAATTGTCGTACCTTTAACTAAGGAGGACATTGAAAAATTATGGATAGAAAATGAAGCTTGGCAAAAAGCTTGTAGTAATTTTTTGGGAGAAATTAACAGCAAATATCCCAAAAGCAATAGAATTGATCTTATAAAGAGAGCTGATTGGATCTTGCCTCAAATTGTGAGGAAAAAACCCATATCTGGAGTTCGTACATTTTATACAGATGCCAACAAACAAGGAAAGGCAGGTTACAAATCAGAAAATTTAAGTAAAGTGGTTCAAAGTCCTTATAATTCAGTTCAAAAATCAGAATTGTATGCTATTCTGTTGGTATTAATGGCTTTTTCAGAACCTCTCAATATAGTAACTGACTCTCAGTATGCTGAAAGAGTAGTATTACATATTGAGACTGCAGAATTTATCCACGATGCTTCAGAATTAACTTCATTATTTATTCAATTACAAGATACAATCAGAAAACGGAGTCATCCTTTATATATAACTCACATCCGATCCCATACTGGTCTGCCAGGCCCTCTAGCACAAGGCAATGATGAGATTGATAAATTATTGATAGGAAATGTGCTGGAGGCCTCAGAATTTCATAAAAAACATCATGTAAATAGTAAAGGTTTAAAAAAGGATTTTTCCATAACCTGGCAACAAGCCAAAGAAATAGTAAAGAAATGTCCTACTTGTTCCTTCTACAATCAAACACCATTACCAGCAGGATGTAACCCAAAGGGTACTCAGAGGAATGAATTCTGGCAGATGGACGTGTTTCACTTTGCAGAATTTGGAAAACTGAAATATGTACACCACACTATCGATACTTATTCAGGATTTCAATGGGCAACTGCTTTGAGTTCTGAAAAAGCTGATTCTGTAATCACTCATTTGCTAGAAGTTATGGCCATTATGGGTATACCTGCACAAATCAAAACTGATAATGCTCCATCATATGTCTCTGTTAAAATGAAACAGTTTTTTGCTTATTATAATATAAACCATGTTACAGGTATACCACATAATCCTACAGGTCAAGCAGTTATAGAAAGATCAAACAGAACTCTAAAGGATATGCTAAATAAACAAAAAGGAGTAACAAAAACCCCCAGAAATAGACTACATAATGCTCTATTAACTTTGAATTTTCTCAATGCCAATGAGAAAGGAACAACAGCTGCAGAGAGACATTGGATAATAGAAAAAACTACAGAATTAAATCAACCTATATACTTTAAGGATGTGCTGACCTCAGAATGGAAACCAGGGTATGTGTTACGTTGGGGACGAGGTTTTGCTTTTATTTCTACAGGAGAAGATAAGCTGTGGGTACCATCAAAATTGATAAAGGTTCGATTTGAACAAGAGAGACCTCTTAATTAGAGGAGGTGATAGTTCATCAACTATCGTAAACATCCAATTTAAACTAACTTACACCAGTAACACATGCCTTTTCATTTAATCAGATAACTTGTCAAAAAGGAACATCCCCAAAAAACCTTGGGGAAAGGTTTTTGTTTTTGTCTTTTAGGAGAATGAAGGTTAAGGAATTTGAAGAACACTGGACAAATGAGACAACTGAAGAAAAGGAACAAATCATCTATCCTAAGAAACAGAATGAAATGGCGTATGGGTATGTTATCTAAAAAAATTTTATGTCTTCCTAAATGTTTGTTTCTGCTTTTCTTTAAAGATTTAACACTATTTAACTTCTAATAGTCCCAGTTCAATTAAAATTTAAAGCTGACTTTGGAGTTGGAGAATGGCTCTCTCCTTCTTTAAACTCAAGCATGTTGTTAAAAGGAAAATGCAAACTCCCTGTATCATGCCAGAGGAAAAGAGCCATCTTCTGCTATGGGAAAGAAGAAAGCCAAGAGGTCAGAGCCAAGAGCCAAAACCTTACCCTTCCTCCTGCAGTGGTCCTACCTCTCCGAACCAGAGCTACCCCTGTGTTAAAGTCTTTATATAGAGTTCCTGTCCTGCCTTCTCATTGGTTGTAAACCCAACCACATGACCGCCTCCTCACAGCCTGTCTGTATAGGCCTCCAGGTTTTCCATGATTGGTATTAAGATTAAAGGCATGTGTATCCAATAATGGCTGTATCCCTGAACACACAGAGACTTACCCAGCTCTGCCTACTAAGTGCTGGAATTACAAGCGTACGCTACCACTGCCCTGCTTTCCTATGGCTTGCTAATAGCTCTGACCCCCGGGCAACTTTATTTATTAACATACAAATAACATTTTAATACAAATAAAATATCACCATATCGAGCAGATCTCCAAAGAGCAGGTGGCGGTGGCGTTGTTTGGGGAGCATGGCCGCCAGCCTCTCCTGAGTCAAAGCCCAGCCTGGCTTCGGAGGCTCTGTAGTCCACGGGCCCTTCATGCCTTTCTTGCCAGCTCCAGCTCCTGGTTCACTCTTTTTGGCCCGCTCCCGTGCACCTTTTACTCCCGGGGATGGCATGCTCCAGTCTGTGGAAGAAAGGGGACATCCAGCTACTTAGGGGGAACGCTATGGCTCTAGCTGTGTTTCTGTGAAACTTCTTGTAGCCACTTAACTCAGATCCCTAACTGGTAGCTGACCCTGTGCATATCTGCAGTAGGGTATGACTTTCTAATCCTCTCCAGTTTTAGGAGTATACCCAATTTAGGGGTATAACACCAGATGGACTGTCCTGCATGCCGCTGGTGCTCCACAGCCCACATCACTATGGTCATGGGTCATTCGGCGTCCCCTGACTCTGGAGCTCCATAGATTGGTCTGGTCCTGTGCCTCGATCCCTAGTCTTTGGTTGGGGTAAGGTTAAGGGCATGACCCCTTTATAAAGGGCAGAGGACCCCACCCTGTTAGTGTGTCTACATGTATCTGTATGTGTATGTGAATGTGTGGTATTGCAGGTATATGTGTGTTTGGATCTGTGTAAGGATGCACATATGTACACTGGGAAGCTCAGCCTCTGTTCTGGCCTATCTCCAGGGTAGAGATGTGGGGAGCAGAACCCAGGGAAGCCGGACAAAGGAATAACGGCTCAGAGTGAGAAAGGAAGCCAACCCTAGCAACCATTCCCAACCTAGCCGCAGCTCCTGAATTCCTGTGGGTGAGAGGTATAGACATGGTTGAGTGTCCTCCTCTAAATTTGTCTAACCCCTTGCCCACCTACCAGCTCAGCATCCAGGCCTCCCCACCCAAAGTCCTCACACCCTCATACTTTCTGCCTTTTCTGTGGGAAAACACGCTTCAGTTTTGAATCTCTGGGCTTGTTGATTATGTTGCTTAGCAACCTGGAGCCCCACCCTCCCAATCCGCAGTATAGTGCACTACTACATAAGTATTAAGGTACAGGGATTAGGGCCGTGTGTGTCTTGTGTCCTGTCCTAGGTCCTCTCCCATGGACCCTTTGAGTGTAACTGAAAGTTTTTCTCCTGTCCGATGGCCTCGAGGTCCTGCAGCCACTTATAAAATAATCATTCAGAGGCTTAATATTATTTACAAACTGTCTGGCCTATGGAAGGCTGTAGCTTGAGTTTTCCTGACTGGCCCACAGTCAGGACAAATCTCTGTCACCCGTCAGTCCCATAGCCACTCAGACCCGACCAAGTAAACACAGAGACTTATATTGGTTACAAACTGTATGGCCGTGGCAGGCTTCTTGCTAACTGTTCTTACAGCTTAAATTAATCCATTTCCATTAATCTATACCTTGCCACATGGCTCATGGCTTACCGGCATCTTTACATTGCTGTTTCTCATCATGGCGGCTGGCAGTGTGTCTCTGACTCAGCCTTCCACTTCCCAGCTCTATTCTCCTCCTTGTCCCTCCTATACTTCCTGCCTGGCCACGGGCCAATCAGTGATTTATTTATTGACCAATCAGCAACATATTTGACATACAGACCATCCCACAGCAGAAGGCCTTTTGCTAGCTAGCTCTTATATCTTAAATTAACCGATTTCTATTAATCTGTATGTTTTGCCATGTATCTTGTGACTTTACCGGTCTGCCGGCATGTTACTTCTCCTTTGGTAGCAGCTGGTGTCTCCCCAGACTCCACCATTCCCTTTCCTGTCTCTCTCCTTGGATTTCCTGCCTGCCTCTAAGCTGCCTTGCCATAGGCCAAAGCAGTTTATTTATTAACCAATGGGAACAACATATATTCATAGTTCTTGTTTGATAACTGTTTGTTGTATACAATTTTACTATATTAAAGTTAAAACCTTCCTTTTTGATTAGATAGAAAAGGGGAAGTGCTGGGGGATATCTTTCTGTATGCTGTGAATATATGTTGTTTTGCACCTTGTACAAAAGCCCATTTAAAATGGATTAGAGACCTTAATCTAAAACTGGAAACTTTCAGAAGAAAACATAGGTAATACCCTTCAAGATATTGGGGTAGGCAAGAACTTTTTAAATAGAACACCAACCGCATAAGAACTGACCTTAAGTATCAACAGATGGGACTACATGAAACTAGTCAGGTGGTGGTGGTACACTTTTGTAATCCCAGCATTCGGGAAGCAGAGGCAAGTGGATCTCTGAGTTTGAGGACAGCCTGGTCTACAAAACAAGTTTTAGGACAGCCAGAGCTATTACACAGAGAAAACCCTGTATTGAACAGCCCCCCGCCCCCCGCCCCACAAAGTTTCTGTACAGAAGAGGAAAAACAAATCAAAACAGCAGAGCAAATAGCCCACAGAGTGGAAGAAAATCAAGTGGTTGATATCCAGAATTTATAAACAATTACAGCTGGGCTGTGGTGGCTCATGTCTTTAATCCCACCAGAGTCAGGCTGGTCTCTGAGTCCAAGGCCAGTCTGGTCTACAGAGAGAGTTCTAGGACAGCCAGAGCTACACAAAACCCTGTCAAAAAACAAAAACAAAAACAAAAACAAACAAAGGTCAGAAATTAAACACTAAAGAAACAAAACTATCAATCAACAAATGGGCAAATGAACTGAATAGACAGTTTTTTTTTTAAAGAAACACAAATGTTTAATAACTACTTAGAAAGTGTTTAATATTCTTAGTAATCATTGAAATGCAAATTAAAGCTGCTCTGAGATACCACTTCACCCCAGTCAGAATGGCTATCTGACAACAAATATCGGAGGGGATGTGGAGAGAAAGGGACTCTTATTCAGTGTTGGTGAGAGGCAAGTTAATGCAGACATTGTGGAAATCAGTTTGGAGATTTCTTAAAAAACTGAAATTAGAACTGCTGTATGACTTGGCTATTTCCCCTCTGGGCAGAAAACTCCATCCCTACCATAGAGATACTGGCACTTCCATGTTTATTGCTGCTTTATTGACTATGTTAAAGAATTGGGTGGTGGTGGTGGCTCACATCTTTAATCCCAGCACATGGGAGGCAGAGGCAGGCAGATCTCAGTGAGATGGAGGCCAGCCTTGTCTACAAAGTGAGTTCAAGGACAGCCAGGACCATTACATGGGGAAATCCTGTCACAAACAAACAAACAAAGAATTGGAATCAAACTAATTGTGCATCAACAGATGAATGGATATTGAAAAATTGATATACATATATAAAATGGAATACTCTTCATCTTAAAGAAATGTAATTCCCACATATGCAGACAAAAACAGCTGTACACAAATATTCCCACAGAATTTGTGGGAAAAATCGATGGACTTGAATGTAAAATTAAGTGAGGTCCCCCAGTCTCAGAAAGAAAAGCCTCATGTAATTCAAGCCTCATGTAACAGCCCTAGCTGTCCTGGAACTCACTCTGTAGACCAGCCTGGCCTTGAACTTACAGAGATCTGCCTGCCTCTGCCTCCTGAATGCTGAAATTAAAGGTGTGCACCATCACACCTGGTGTAATTCTTTTCTTAATTCTATAATTTACTCATATTAATCACTTTGTTCATGCGATCATTCCACATAAATTAAGTCCATAATCTGTTAATGAGTGTGATATTGCCAGTGCCTGTGCTTAAGTCTCACTTTCATTTCTACATGGAGAGGTGATGGCTTTTGGAGTTTGGAATCTGAGTACCTCTGGTGGACCATCTTTCATTTGTAGGTAGTCCATCCTGGCTGACAGGTGGGTCCCTGTTACTTGCATATGGGCCTTTTATGGCTGAAATGTGAGTCTCAGCTAAGTTTCTGGACTTTCTTCAGGAAGTTATTAACTGTTCCCACTGCTTTTGGAAGCTTGCCCTGGCCTCTTGGTTGAAGGTCCACTTATGACTCTTTATCATTCAGTCCCCAAGCTTGCCTCCTCATCCCCACAGCTGAGTGGAATGAATATCCCTGTAGATGGATTTTTCTTTGGGCCACCAGCTCACAAATGACATGGAGATTTATTATGAAAGCTTGGCCTTAGATTATGCTTGTTCCTAACTAGTTCTCATAACTTAACTCACATTTTTTTTTTTGTTTTTTCGAGACAGGGTTTCTCTGTGTAGCTTTGCGCCTTTTCCTGGAACTCACTTGGTAGCCCAGGCTGGCCTCGAACTCACAGAGATCCGCCTGGCTCTGCCTCCCGAGTGCTGGGATTAAAGGCGTGCGCCACCACTGCCTGGCTCACATTTCTATATCTATGTTCTTTTACATGACTTGGTAACCTTTACTCTGTACTGACTATCTTGCTTCTTCTGAGCTTGGCTGATGACTCTGCCTTTCTTCTTCCCAGAGCTCTCTCTGTCCAGAAGTCCCTGTTCTATCTCCTGCCTAGCTATTGGTTGTTTAGCTTTTTATTAAACCAATCACAATGACATCTTTACACAGTATAATCAAATATCTTGCAACATTTCCCTCTTATGTTTAAATAAAAAGGAAAGGGTTTTAATTCTAACATAGTAAAACTATATACAATAAGAACAATTATTAAGTAAGAATTACATTTACAATGTTCAGTCCATTTTCATTTGGCAAATTCAGAGAAACAGTCCATTATTAATCCTATCTTGGTGAGTCCAAAGTTTTGTGCCTAAGTTACCTTCTATCACAACTAAGGAAAACTATAACTATCTAGTCTTCAATTCTATCAAAGATTCCAGAAGGATATAATATTACCTGAGTAAACAAGAAGTGCAGAGCAAGCAATGTCCAAAACTAAGAGAGGACAGAGACATCTGGCTGCCTGGATAGTCACCCAAGGTTCTTCTGTAACACTGGGGCATCCATCTTCGGCCTATGGGCCTAAAATATCTGACAGACTTTTCTGTGAAGCAGGAATTTTGAAAGACTGTCCTACCTTGTCTTGGCAATGTTTGGCAGTTGTCTTCTTTTGTGTCCTGCTTGTCCACTTTGGACAGCATCTGTCAGCAGTCGTGGCAAGGGCAGTTTCTTACCCAGTGGCTAACTTTTGCCCCAAAGAAAGCAAACTCCATATGAAGGTTCTTTGATGTCGATCCTCTTCTCTGAAGTAGATTGGTGCTGCCAGGAGCAGATGTGTCTCATTGTTATAAAAAGCCTTATGTTATTATGTTGAGTCTTGGGGTATCACAAATAATGAGGATCAGACCACCGAAGTCAGATAATCAGAAGCAAATTATTTCATCACCATGAGGTACCAGAACTTCTAACTAGTTAGGGTCAGAGGCAGGTCAGGCTCTGACTGTGACCTCAAACACAGGGTCCTTTTTAAAGCAAAAGCCACAAGTCAGGGGGCCAGGGTTGACATAAGAAAAAGAATGTTTACAATTTGACTGTATATTCTGGAAATTTACAACTTGTGATAACATTTTACAGCTAGTAGTATAATTTGTGATAACATCTTAACATCTAAACAACCTTCTACAAGCTTAACATCTAAACAACCTTCTACAAACAGGGGGTTTGTTGTTTGTAGAAGCAAGACTGTGGTTATCTTAACACAACTCAACATAGCTTGGGTCTTGTCTTAATTTTTAACCAACTGTTCTTCCTGTGACTGAGAATATAGGGCAAGGGTCAAGTGATAGAAGAAGCTGGATAGGTGGGCTAATGTTCAGATTTTCTCTGGGCCTTTCAACTAAAACATTTTAAATGCCATATTCTGTAGGTCTTTGAAGTATTTGAAGATCACCTATCTATCTAAAATATAGATATTTTATATCTGTTTGACCTTGAAAATTTACTTAACATGACTATAAGTTTGATTGTTATAGATGACTATTAACCTGTATTTCTTTTTGTCCTAAATAGCTTTTTGTTTTGTTTTGTTTTTGAGACAGCATTTCTCTGTGTAACAGCCTTAGGTGCCCTGTAACTAGTTCTATAGACCAGGCTGGACTTGAACTCACAGAGATCTGCCTGCTTCTGCCTCCTGAGTGTTGGGATTAAAGGTGTGTGCCACCACCGCCCAGCTCCTAAATAGCTTTTAAGTACTAAAACTTTACATTACATTTTTAAATGATTTGCATAGGTACAATATGTTAAACAAGAATAGAAACATAAATATACAAAAATCCATACCAATGTAAAATATTTGAGACTAGTGGTTGTTTAAAAGTAGACTCAACAATCCACCCTTTTTTAAAAAAAAGGTTTATTTATTTATTTTATATATATGAGTACTCTATCTGCATGTACCCCTTTATTCCAGAAGAGGGCATCAGATCCCATTATAGATGGTTATGCACCACTATGTGGTTGCTGGGAATTGACTCAGGACCTCTGGAAGAGCAGTCAGTGCTCTTAATTGCTGAGCTATCTCACCAGCCCCCAACAATCCACCCTTTTATCCCATCATTTCTATACTATATCCCCCCTTTTGCCCTTCAGAAATAGATCCCTGAATCTAATCTTTGTTCAGCTTTTTTCCTGACCATAACCAATAACAACTTGTAACCAACCCCCCAAATGATGACAAACATCCATAATCCACCAAATGACCAAAAACTACCCACCCCACCTCTTGGGAATGTGGGCATTGTGTTCTCTAGACTGCTTCCTATTGTCTGTGGGTGATGAACTCTTTTGGAGGACTCAGAGGAAACTGAGATAATGGTCAAGTCCTGGGAAGACTAGCCATAGCATTTGTTGTCCAGTATCTGTGCAATGGGAAAGTGCAGGGCTTATCTGCAGTCCTGGCTAGAATAGTCTGTGAGGCTGGATCATCTCAGCCAGCAGCTTTGAAGCTGTTTTGTATGCAGAACTCTGAGGAAACTACAGCAAAGGCATTCTGAGAGGCTAGATTACCTGGACTACCCCTTTCATTGGTGTCTGGTCCCCTTGTTCTGAAAACACACACACACACACACACAAACTTTCAAAGGTAACATACATATCATTAATACAAGTATGGACTGTGTGTTGTATACAAGCCAGCCAAAGATGATTTTTGTTTATGTTTGAGCAGGTAAAATATATGTTACCTGTCTATTAGTTTTTCTAGATTTATTTCTTTATGTCTGTAGTTTGTATTTTCAGGGAGTCTCCCCCTATCAAATCTGTTCGTCTTTAACCTAGAACAAATCCACAGCCTTTTGTTTTCTGTGGAAACAAAAGCATAACTTCTTTCCCAAAGCAATACATTTCCTGACTTCCATTTTAAAGTTAAGGCATTCCTAAAGTATCTGGGCTGGTTTAATTCAGCAGGTTCTTGCCCAATTCAGTGTTTCTCAGCAGCTGTCATTTTCTGTTCATTAGCATTCAAAAAATTCAAAATTAACAAAGCACCAAATAAGGTTCAAACTCCCTGTGTTCTATTTTCCATCCTTATGTGGCTTTTTTTTTTTTTTTTTGGTATTACTTTACTTTCTCTCTTTTTAAAAAAATATACACTGGTGTTTTGCCTGCATTTATGTCTGGGTGAGGGTATTGGGTCCACCTGGAACTGGAGTTACAGACAGCTGCGAACTGCCATGTGGGAATTAAACCTGGGTCCTCTGGAAGAGCAGTCAGTGCTCCTAACCACTGAGTTATCTTCCCAGCCCTTTCTTTACTCTCTTTTTAAAGACTTTATTATCAAATAGCTCCCAACAGAACCCTTTTCCAGTCCTCAAGCATTTGCATTCCAATGCTCCTAGGCTCTTCCTGATCCCTTCTTTCCTGTGCAGGTCTTTGGGGTTAGTGCTGGACTCTGACACCAACATGGAGCTTTTGAGGAGGAAGATTCTGGTCTTAGGGAGAGGCTCACCAGTGGGCCACCTCTTCCAAGCAGACTTCCTGGAAACACAATACTCAATTGGAAATACACTGTTACTGTGGATCCATTCTTTAAGACTGAATCCTGGACCTTCTCAGCCTCTCAGGACCTATGCTAGGAAGACATAAGGATGAGGGGTTGGCCAGTTCCCATGGTGGGGTGGGGTCGGGTCGCACAGGGAGCAGGAGAAAATACTGTTCTATAAGAAGGCACTATAACGTTTCCTCTGCGTTTACGGGGTTGGAAAACTCTGTGAACCAAAGTTCTTGAATAACACCTTCCAGTGAACCTTCTGCTAGGTGTATTAAGTGATGAGAACTTCAATGATTGTGGAGAGGTTGGAGTGTTACAGGTACAGAGCATAATTACAATTTCTCATGGGCTATCTTTAGCCTTCTTAATAGTCATTACTGATCACCTGTGTCTAGCCTAACATCATTGTGACTAACAGGTGAAACCTTTTGGAGAATATTAACAGACTACTAGATTCCACTGACCCAAAGGCTAAGCCTGCCATCAGATAGCATCTGAGGTCTACTTTCCCTACTTTGCTGTAACTGCCTACCTGATGTTTCTACCAGTTCATTTGAAAAGTCCCTTGATTTATGGGTTTTTTTGTTCTGTTACTATAAAATTTCACAAAACTGTTATTGGTTGGAACATGGAATTTGGGGTAGCCCAAATCTGTATTCCTGAGCCATGGTCACTCATATTTGGCTCCAGGATAAACTCTCTCTTATCCCATTTGGGGTGGGAGCTGTGTTTTTGCATATACAGTTATAGTACCCAAGTGTGGGATCCCAAGAGTGAATCACTTTTCATAGGAGAAGTCACCTGCCTTAGAGCCAGGAACTAGCATGGAAATTTTTGTGTCCAAACCATTTGACATTATTTCTTTAGGTAGATTTTGGTCCTGAGTGCTGGAATTAGAGGTGCACGCTGCCACTACAACTCCTGAGTTCTTTTTAAACCCACTGAGTCCATTCAGTGCTGCCAGTATGTGGGTGTGGGTATAGCATTGTCTACTGGCTACTATCAGGGGCTGCATCCCTGAAGAAAATGACTCTCCCCCCGCTAGCAATTGCCAGTCACTCTAGGTCAGCAGTTGAACAGCCCTTTCTTGGGGTTGCATACCAGATCTTTACAGTATGATTCATAACTACCAAAATTACCGTTATGAAGTAGCAATGAAATAATTTTATGGTTGGGGGTCACCACAACATAAGAAAATGTATTCAAAAGTCATAGTATTAGGAAGGTTGAGAACCGCTGTCTACATTATCCATTGTGTTTGTTTGCTTTGAAAGCATTTTGATTTTCAACCGCTCAGTTTCTGGTTTGCTTTCAGAACTCTGTTAATTTGCTAGCATTCAGTCTGCTTTTCCTTGGACACTCTTTCTATATCAATTTAAAGAAGGGAGGAAGTGTTTGAAGAAAAACATGTTTGGTACTCCTACTGGTTTTATGTTTGATAATTATGTTAATTGAACGTGCAAGTATTAATAAGAAGGGGGGTGATCTGAGTGTGGTGGCACATGCCTTTAATCTCAGCACTGGAGAGAAAGAAGCAGGCAGATATCTGTGAGTTTGAGACCAGCCTAATCTATATAGCAAGTTCCAGCCCAGCCAAGGCTACATACATATTAAAACTCTGTCTTAACAACAACAGAGAAGGCAACCTGACTTTATACTAACTAACTTTAATTTATTTTGTGCACTTAACTAGAAGTCCTAACAACAAAACAAAACATAAATGGACAGTGTTAATTCGAGAAATCCACAGAGTCTGCTTAAAGGGTGAAGGAATATATTGGGGGGAAAACTCACTATAGTGCTGGAAATTTAAATCATAGGGTCCTGGAAAGCTGAGGTACAGTCCAATGCTGTTCTGCTGCTGAGATGGTCCACACCATCCAGCCCACGAGAGAGAAGAGTGCAGCCTACGTGTGTCTCAGGTCTTAAGGGTAGCCTCAAGCTATGCCCCAGGGGCAGGTACTTCAAGGTCATAGGTAGGTAGGACAGTTACCTACTACATCTCTAGGGGCAGTGTTACAAGGTCATAGACAGAACAGCTATCCACTACATCTCTCCTTCTTGTCTAAATAAGAAAGTTCTAACCAAATACAAAACTATATATAATAGGAACGATTTTCAAGTATTGTCCAGGAGAGGGGAAAGGTAATAAACATAAACAAAAATAGAAATACAACCAGCAAGAACAACATCAAACAAGAGACACATGCTAAAATCCAGAAATGTCCTGAACATAGGTAAATGACATGTCACAGAGATTGCTCTAATAGCTCTTCTATCTTAAAGAATCTAACTTTATTATCTGAAATGTTCTTAGCTAAGATACATGAGAGGATTGTAAGTGTAACTATCTAGTCTTCAACCCCATCAAAGACCTGAGAAGGAAAATAATATTCCTGAGAAAACAGGAAGTGCAAACAAGCAGTTTCTGAAAAACTGCAGGAATAGACAGAGACAGCTGGCAGCCTAGACAGTCAGTGCATGAGACTCTTAATCTCAGGGTCCTGGGTTTGTGCCCCACGTTGGGCACCACATAATGCGAGAAATCCATGGAGTCTGCTTAAAGGGTGAAGGAATTTATGGGGGTGGGGAGAAACTTACTACAGCATGGGAGATTTACTTTGGATCCTGGAAAGCCGAAGTACAGTCCAACACTGTTCTGCCACTGAGATGGTCCGCACCATCCAGCCCACAAGTGAGAGGAGAGTGCAGCCTACAGAGCAGGTACTTCAAGGTCATAGGTAGGTAGGACAGTTACCTGCTACATGTCTAGGGGTGGTGTTACAAGGTCATGGACAGAACAGCTATCCACTACACAGTGTGCTTAATTGGAATTTAAAAATCATTAAATAAAAATAAATTACAAAATTGGCAATATACAAAAATTAATAGGACCTCTAAAAACTAATCTAAGTTAAATGGAAATGTTATAAGGCAAAGGCAGGCTGATCTGTATGAGTTTGAGGCCTTCCTGGTCCACATAGGAATTCTAGGCCAGTCAAGGCTACATAGTGAGACCTTGTCTCAAAAAAACAAAAAGAGCCGGGCAGTGGTGGTGCACGCCTTTAATCCCAGCACTCAGGAGGCAGAGTCAGGCGAATCTCTGTGAGTTCAAGGCCAACCTGGTCTACTGAGAGAGATCCAGGAAAGGCGCAAAGCTACGCAGAGAAACCCTGTCTCGGAAAAACTTTAAAAAAAAAAAAAAAAAAGAATTACTTTTAAAATAATTTTAGTTGTGATGTCAAAACTAAAGATAAGTTCTGAGGACAATTCCTTTCTGTCATCTACCCTTCTCTGACCCTGCCTCTTCCTCCTTGGTTTTCTAATAGGGCAAAATTTACATAAAAATTATTATGGGTAGAGAGAAAAGAATCTCATGTTATATTAAAAATTCCCAGCTGGGAGGTGGCGGCACACACCTTTAATCCCAGCTCTTGGGAGGCAGAGGCAGGTGGATCTCAGAGTTTGAGGCCAGCCTGGTCTACATAGTGAGTTCCAGGACTGCTACATAGTAAGACCCTGTCTAAAAAAATAAAAATATAAAAAAAATTCTGGGGACTGGAGAGATGGCTGAGAGTTTAAGATCATAAACTTCTCTTATGAGGAACTGAGTTTGGTTGCCAGCATCTAGGTTGAGTGATTTACAACTGCCTGTAACTCCAATTCTAGTGAAATCTGATGCCTCTGACTTTGAGAGTACCTGTACTCACATATACATACCTAAACACAAATATAAACATACACATAATTAAAAATAAACCTTAAAAATATCCCACTTGGGGGCTGGAGAGATGGCTCAGAGGTTAAGAGCACTGGCTGCTCTTTCAGAGGTTCTGAGTTCAATTCCCAGCAACCACATGGTGGCTCACAACCATCTATAATGAGATCTGATGCCCTCTTCTGGCATTCAGACATATATACAGGCAGAACACTGTGTACATAATAAACAAACAAACCAACAAATAAATCTTTAAAAAATATCCCATTTGTGGGGTTGGAGAGATGGTTCAGTGGTTAAGAGCACTGGTTGCTTTTCTAGAAGACTCAAGTTTGGTTCCCAGCATCCACATGGCAGCTCAAAGTGTCTGCAATTCCAGTTCTAGGGAATCCAATGCCCTCATTTGGCCTCTGTGGGCACCAGGCACACAGGGTACACAGACATACATGTAGGCAAAACACTCAAACTTAAAAAAGTCACATTTGTAAAAGCTACTTTCCTTTTGAAAGCTCATACTGACTCTTAGAAATATTTTCTTTCTCTGTCCCTCTTCTTAAATTTTAAAATATATTCTTTTTTTGGGGGGGGGGTTTCAAGATAGGGTTTCTCTGTGTAGCCTTGGCTGTCCTGGAACTTGCTCTGAAGTATATTCTATTTAGTTTTAAAAAATTATGCTTCCTTACCTGCTCTGTCTCTGTATCTCTTTGTGTCTGTCTGTTGCTCTCTCTGTCTCTGTCTTTCTCTGTATGCCACATGTATTTGGGTAACCCTGGATGCCAGAAGAGGGTGTTGGAATCCCTGGAGCTGAAGGTGCAGTCAGATATAAGCTGCTTGCCATGTGTGCTGGGACCTGGTCCTCTGCAAAAGCAGCAAATGCTCTTAAGTCCTGAACCATCTCCTCAGCCCCTCTGTTTTCTCTTTGAGCAGCTTTTTTTTCTCTTAACCCTCCTGCTTATGCTTATGTTTAAATATCTTTATTATATTGATTAGTCCTAAAAGTCTTTTCAGTGTCAAAGCCAGTGCTTCTGGTTTGATCTTAGTTAAGATCCCTAAGTCTAGGGAAACTCCTCAGGCTGCTAAAGCTGAGGCAATATAGACAATATAGAGTTATGTCACTTGTCTCCTCACCACTATCATTTTGGAAGCTCATGCTGAGATTCAACTTAAAGTATTGTTAGTGAATGTGCCAGACTATCAGTGACTGATCTGTCCTGATAAGTTGTGGTTTGTATATTGCTGCAAGCCATAATTACCCCTTTGCATTGTGCATTAGCATTTTCAAAAGCCCGAGATTCAATTATTATCTGTCTGGCTTCTGAATTTGGTATCATTCTATTTAATGCTGAAAACAGCCTTTGTAAGAAATCAGTGAAGGTTTCTTTTGGGCCCTGTATAACATTTGTAAATGACTCGATTTTCCTTCCTACTTCTTCAATTCTGTTCCAAGCATTCAAGGCTGACATTCAGCATAAAGCCATGGTGTGGTCATCATATAGAGATTGCCTTTCTACATTAGCATAATCTCCCTCTCCAAGAAGTTGATCTTGGGAGATTTCCATACCTCTAGCCCTACTTCATTGTTGTTCAATGGTCTTAGCCTCATCCTTCCACCAGATCATCCATTGTAACTGGGGACCAGCTTCTAAGATAGCTGTAACCAAATCTCTCCAGTCTTGAGGGATAATTCTATTATAAGTTGACCATGAGTTTAGCATCTGCTTCACAAACAGGGAATGAATACCATATAATACTATAGCTTCTTTGAATCTCCTCAAACCTAACATTTTCACAGGAGTCCAGTCAGCTCTTACACAGCCTTGAGCATTTGGCAGTTCCTATAAGGTTACTGGATAGATTAAGGTTGACTGTTTGAAAACCTTAGGCTGTTTTTCTGTAACTATCTAATGCGATGCTGAGATTGGCTCACCTTTAAATTCCTCTGTGTGGGTCTGAATTTCTCTATGATCTGTTTTAACAAGTTTTTCTAAAATTTTTATCTTGGCACTCATGTTAACCAACTTTTTAAAATGATAAAACAGAAACAATCAAAACAATATTTATAATTAACATTACATAAATTCCATCTACGTTAATTATCCTCTCATTTAGTTGTTCCATTTCCAGACTGTCAATTGTATTATCAAAGACCAAATTCCCTCCATTGTAAAATGTTTCCCATTTTTTAATGGGGGGGCCATGTGGCACGGGGACTCTTTTTTTAACTAATTTCTCCTTTTAAGAATTCCCAACTGTTTCACCAAATCTGCTGATAATGACAATTCAGATGTTAGGCTGACTGCTTCTGCATAGAACAGTAGAAGCCTGAGTGGGTTTCAAGGCAGCTATCTAGTATGGTAGCAGCCCAAGAGGGGAATCCAGGCAGAACCCACAACCCACCAGGAGAGAAGCCAAAGAGCCAGTCGTCTGCACAAAGAAATTGAGAAAGCAGCTAACTCCTATGGCTTTTGGGGCCCAAAAAAAACTAATGGAGTTTGTTGCAGAGAGGCTACAACAAAAACTTAGCCAGCGGGTTAGGGACTCTGGCCCATGTGGGTGGAGACTCCAGCTGTAGGTCCGGGACCTACAAGGCCACAGACAAATGACTTTTTTGTGAATTAGTACCCCACACATTGGATGCCAGATGTTGTTTGAATTTTAGATGGTCTTTGAATAAAAAACCAGAGCCGGATATCAGGGTGAAGGCTGAAAGATCAGAGAAGCAGAGCAGCCAGCCACTTGTTCTTACCTCTATGAAATCCTTGGTCTAAAAAGAGTGAGTTCCTGTTTCCTCACACCTTATACCGTTCTCTGCCCTGCTATATTACTTCCTGGGATTAAAGGCATGTGTGCTTCCCAGTACTGGGATTAAAGGTGTGTGCCACCACTGCCTGGCTCTGTTTCCAGTGTGGCCTTAAACTCACAGAGATCCAAATGGATCTCTGCCTCCCAAGTGATAGGAATAAGGGTGTATGCCACCACTGCCTGACCTCTATGTCTAATCTAGTGACTGGCTCTGTTCTCTGATTTTTCAGGCAAGTTTATTAGGGTACACAATATATCACCACAGTTGCATTTGTTTAACTCTGTGAAGCTGTGTTACTTTGCCTGTCTAAAACACCTGATTGGTCTAATAAAAAGCTGAATGACCAATAGCAAGGCATGAGAAAGGAAAAGTGGGACTGGCAGGCAGAGAGGATAAATAGGAGAAGAAATCTGGGAGGAGAGATCAAGGCGCAAGAAAAAAAAGGAGAGAAGGACATCGGAGGCCAGCCACCCAGCTACACAGCAAGCCACAGAGTAAGAAGTAAAGAAAGGTATACAGAAATAGAGAAAGATAAAAACCCAGAGGCAAAAGATAGATGGGATAATTTAAGTTAAGAAAAGCTGGCTAGAAACAGCCAAGCTAAGGCCGGATATTCATAAAAAAGAATAATCCTCCATGTGATTTATTTAGGACCTGGGTGGTGGGCCCCACAAAGAGTAAAGCGCCAAAAGAGTTATTAAAAAAACAACTACAAGCCGGCGGTGGTGGTTCATGCCTTTAATCCCAGCACTCCGGGAGGCAGAGGCAGGTCGATCTCTGTGAGTTCGAGGCCAGCCTGGTCTACAAAGTGAGTTCCAGGACAGGCTCCAAAGCTACACAGAGAAACAAAACAAACAAACAAAAAACCCCCCAAAAACAAAACCAAACAAAAACAAAACAAACAAACAAAAACACTACAGTTTGTTACCTTTACCAGTAACAAAAATGCTGGAGAGTCTAATGACGAAGTTGTTACCATTGTCATCTCTCAATGTGAACCACATCAAAAGGGCCTGGATCTTCCTCTCTGTTGATGATAACACCAATTCTTCCCAAGTTAGCATTCCCAGTCACCACACACAGGCTAGTAGTGTCAAATTTGATGAAGTCAGTTATCTTGCTTGTCTCCAAATCAGACTGAATGGTATCATTCAACTTGATGAGGGGGTCAAGGTAGCAAATGGTTTGAACATCATGGGTCACCAGATATGGAATTATTTTTGTGCCCACGAAGATCTTTCTTACTTTGAAAAACTTGCACTTTGCCTCCTCAAGTATAATATGATGAACAGCAAAGTGCCCCTTGGTGTCATAGATCAGACAGAAGTTCTCTCCAGTCTTGTCAATGCTCATGACATCTAAGAACCCAGTATGGTACGTTATATCAATCCTGACTTTGCCAACAATCTTAATGAAAACTAGGCAAAATTTTTTTACTTCCTCTCCTGTCAAGGGACATAAGTCTGTTCCTTAGGAAAATGATAAAAGGTAGAGATTCTTTCAGCTTGTGGGAACCAGTGGATGGACGAGGAGTAAACACGAAGGTCTGTTTATTCAGTATCCAATGTTTTGGAACTGTGATGTCTCTTGGGAGCATGAACCATGCCTGCGCTTGTTCCCTTTCTTTCCTG